GTCCTTGAGGAGCCTGCGAGGCCTTGGCCTGGGCTCTCCTGGCGGCCTTTTCCTCCTTGGCCTTTTTCTTGAGCTCGGCGTTGGTGAGCTTCTTCTCGCCGGCCGCGGCTGGCTGCTGGTCCTTGCCTTGACCCTTGGCCTGCTCCTTCTTTTCCTTCTTATCCGTCACCTGCGGCGCGGGGGCCGGCCCACCAGCTTCAGTGGCCATGTGTGTTTCTGGAGAAGTTGCGACTGGTGGGTTGTGAAGTCGAGGGAATGTGGTTGCTCGAGGCGGGGCAACTCGGTGCGGTGGAGATTCAGCGCCGTGCGCGTCGACGATTGCAGTAGCAGGTCCCGATAACAGAGGTGTGCGATCTATTTAAGACTGTAGTTAAGAATTCTGTAAAAAATTTGCCGTAAATAACGACCTCGCGACGTCGTTGGGTGTGATTTTTTGTGCAAGTCGTGAGAGTCGACGCTTTGAGTCACTCGAAAATAATGGTCCCCGGCTCAGGATTGACTGGAGAAATGCCCCGCGCTAGCAGAGACGTGGGTGGCAGAGCCTCACCAGGAGCCAAAGCCCCATGTCACTTTGAATGGGAGACGACGAGAGATGAGATTCTTTACGAGATGGGTCTTGAATCAGAGATGATGGTATTTACAGTTCAGATGAGCCTTCTCGTCACGTTACAGGCTATTGTTTGATGCATCTCGCCGTTGGACCCGGTCGCACAGCTTGGCAGGCAGGCAGCGAAGGCAGAACAATGGCATTGAACTCGGAGCGAAGAAGCGCTCGCCCTGGCATGGATAGACAGACGAGGAAGACAGACGAGGAAGGACGAGGCTATCAAGCAGAACAAGACGTCATACTGTTCGTGAGATGGAGAGCAGCTGGAGGTAGATGGGACCCGCGCAGTCGCGGATTGGGCTGGGCCTGGAGGCCATTTACCTCTGAGCCGATCAAGCAGTAACGCCAGTCATTCATTTCAAGACATTCTTCACGTCTCTACCAGACACTGCGCAACATCTCGACATGAACGATTCATTCGGGCAGCCCGTTGCCCGCGACGCGAATCCATCGCTTCACACCAACTTCCTTCTTCACGACCATCCATCAAGGACAACTCGCAATGAAAGAAAAATCTCCCACAGGGAAAAGAAGAGCTCCAAAAATTCCCTCACCAGGCGAACCCAATGAGGAGCGGTCAGTGTATAGTTTTCAACTAGCAAAATTCCTCTCTCAGCTTATCGCTTCACGGAGAAGGAAAACGCCCTTGCACTTGGATGGAGAAGAAAGGAAAAAAAGAAGACTGAAATGGCGGGAGGGAAGCTCGCGTTATATAGAGAATCTGGAGCGGCTGCGCACGGACCACCTGGGCAGATTACCTAAGGCACCAAGGCAGGAACGCGAGTGAATTGATTGGGGGGCTGGGGCTCAGCCGCGGCCAGGCACCAGTGGAGATCCACCTCTCCACTCCCAGCCTCCTCAAACAGATTGCCTTTTCACGAGCAGCAAAACTCTACAGCACGGCTAAAGGTAAACAGATGCTCTTTTGTTTTACGATATGGTTAATTAGTACAGCTCATTGATTTGAGGTATCATGTTCCTGTGAATGTATCTATCAAAATAAGATACTCCCGATCATTCTTCTTGACTGCAGTGCTCTTGAAAACTGGCTGGGAAGGCGAAATCTCCATTGCTCGGAAATTCGATATCCACCAAACCCACTGTCAAACCCACAGGCAGCCAGGCGAATTCCAGCCGCAACAGGCAGAGGCAGCAGAGCAGCGTGGGAAAGTCACGGGCCGGGCACGGGCACCACGGGCATGAACAACCTTAACTGCAGGCAGGCACACGACAGTCAAGTGAGCCACTCACTGAGCCACATTTCTTCAGTGAACCAACATGAGCGGATTACCTTTATGACAGCACGTCAGACACAGCTCTCTTGAGCATCAGAATTAATTCTCCCTTGCATGAAATCTAGCATTTCATGATGGAAAACCTTCAAGAGTCACAAAATGCTGCATTTGCTTTTTCCACCATGAACCTAGTCAGCCTGGTTGCTCTTCTACTGGCTTGAGTCACGCCTAGCCACAGGGAGTCGATCGCTGCGATACCGCTATCGCAGCTCGTGAACCTTAGTTACAGACCCCAGCCAAAAACCTCCGCTCTCAACCAGCAACACCAGGGACGAGATCGAGCATCAGGCGCCATGAAGAGGTTCACTCGTGCATACTCGTCGGCGACGACCACTCTTGGGGCGGCTCCCATTCCTGCCTCCAAGATCAAGTACATTCCCTCCACGGGCACGTACCCCAAGGGCTTCGTCGCCTCGGGTGTCTTTGTCGGCGTCAAGCCCGGCAACACCTCCAAGCCCGACCTCGCCATCATCTCCTCGGACCGTCCCTGCGCTGCTGCCGGTGTCTTTACAAAGAACAAGTTCCAGGCCGCGCCTGTGACTTTTAGCCGCAAGCTTCTTCAGCAGAAGAAGAATGCTGGCCTTCGCAGCGTCGTCATTAACTCGGGCAACGCCAACGCCGTCACCGGCACCGGAGGTCTTGAAGATGCTACCAATATGGCCCGCACCACCGACCAGAGGGTTGGCGATGAGGACTCTACGCTCGTCATGAGCACTGGAGTCATTGGCCAGAGGTTTGTTTTCTCAATTGAGTCTAATGAGGCATCAATGGGCTGACTCTGTCCTAGGCTGCCTATTCAAAAGATTGTTGACCACATCCCTATGGCGTATCACAAGGCTGGTGACTCCCACAGCCACTGGCTGAACTGCGCAAAGGCTATCTGCACCACCGACACTTTCCCCAAGCTCATGTCCCGAACTTTCGAGCTGCCATCCTCACCGGGTGTCGAGTACCGCATCGCTGGTCTGACCAAGGGTGCGGGCATGATTGCCCCTAACATGGCCACCCTTCTCACCGTCCTGGCTACCGATGCTCCTATTGCTCCTGCTGTCATGCCTAATGTGCTCCGACACGCTGTGGACCGCTCATTTAACGCCATCACTATTGACGGTGACAGCTCTACCAATGACACGGTTGCTCTTCTGGCCAACGGTGCTGCCGGTGGCAAGGAGATTGCTTCTGAGCAGTCCCCTGACTTTGAGGCTTTCCAGGGTCTTCTGACCGAGTTCTCGGCCGACCTGGCCAAGTACATTGTTCGGGATGGTGAAGGTGCTACCAAGTTTGTCACTATTCGTGTTGTCGACAGTGCAACCGAGGAGGCAGCCCGCCAGGTTGCTCGCTCCATTGCCACTTCTCCCCTCGTGAAGACGGCTCTGTACGGCAAGGATGCCAACTGGGGCCGCATTCTGTGCGCCGCTGGTTATGCCTTGATCTCTCCTCCTGGGCAGCCTATTAACGACGTTCCCGAGATTGTCCCTGAGCGTACCAACGTCTCTTTCGTCCCCACTGACGGCTCAACCGAGCTGAAGCTGCTGGTGGATGGTGAGCCTGAGCAGGTCAATGAGGAGCGGGCGAGCGAGATCCTGGCAATGGAGGACCTTGAGATCGTTGTCCGACTGGGCACCGGTGACAAGTCGGCGGTGCACTGGACCTGTGATTTCAGCCACGACTATGTGACTATCAACGGTGATTACCGAACTTAGTTGAGGGAAATGGTTTAAAAGATGGAAGAATTCGAAATGAATAGACGATGATGTGCCACGAGTTACTACATCTGATTCACTTTTTTGCTATGTGGGAGGTGCCATTCATGGGCCTCTGAGCTGTTGAAGCATCGTGCATATTCCAATTTGACATTTCTTGGATCCTATAACACCCCATTGTCTAAATCTAACCAAACTGATCGCCCCAAACTCCTAAACCATTCCCATCTTTTTACGCACTCAGGGTACCCTTGGTGCTGGGCACCTCACCCTCCTTGCCCGGTATCCTGGTGATGGCAGCCTTGATAGCCAGAGCCAGAGCCTTGAAGGCACTCTCAGCACGGTGGTGATCGTTGTCACCGTGGAGGCAGTGGACGTGCAACGTGATACGGGCACCCTGAGCGAAACTCTGCATGCAGTGGGGAACCATCTCGGTGCTGAGCTGGCCGAGGAACTCGCGCTTCAGGCCAAGCTCGACGACGCTGTAGGGACGGTTGGAGAGATCGACGACGGCGCGGGAGAGGGCCTCATCGAGAGGAGCGTAGGCATAGCCGAAGCGGGCAAGACCGGTAGGAGTACCGAGGGCCTGGGCAAAGGCGTAACCAAGGGCAATGCAGACATCCTCGGCGGTGTGGTGGTCATCAACTACAGAGGCAAAGTCAATCAGTCATCTGGCCGGTGGCGGACAGGAATATCAACGTACTGTGAAGATCACCCTTGCAGTTTATGGCCAGACTCCAGCCAGAGTGCTTGGCCAGAGCGTGGAGCATGTGGTCGAGGAAGCCAATTCCAGTGTTGATGGCAATCTTTTGCGACTTGCTGGCCTGGGAAGCATGGCTGTCACCATCATCGAGGAGACGGGAGTCGGTGTCCGGGGGAAAGCTGCCGCCGTCCAGGTTGAGGGCGAGCTGAATCTTGGTCTCGTTGGTGTCGCGGGCGAGAGCGGCCCAACGGGTAGGCTGAGCAGAGGCCATCTTGAAAGTCAATTGAAGGTGAATGAGGGAGATGTTGACGGTAGGTACGTAGTAGATGGATGTAAAAGTCGAGGGCTCCTGTATCGGCGAGTGCCAAATTGACGGCCTCTGATACGTCCCCCGCCACTCAATCTTTTTTTTCTGGTTCGCAGCGAGGGGCTGTCGCTGTTGCCACTGGAAGCTACCCCGCTACGGTCAAGACAAGCCTGCTGTGGCTTAGTGGCTTCCGCCTGAAGACCCTTAACGCGCTTAGCTCCCTGGCGCGTGTCGACGGGAGTGGTTGTTGACTTTTGGTGGGATGTCTGTGTTGACGACATTTCCAAAACAAACGACGATAAAACGAACCGCAGCCCACGACGTTTGTCCGCAAAGGCCGGTGCATCCATCGATTGCTCAATGATATCGAGGAACTAAACTAGGGATGGAAAAGTTTCTGAGGGAGTGGCGGCAGGATGCCCTCAACAAGGCGCAATATGAGTCGGCCATCTTTATCGGCGACAAGCTGCTTGCATTGACCAGTCTGTCGACTCCGGCTCTTGTTGATGAAGGATACTGACGAAGCCCTTGTCTTGTAGACGATGACACTGACGCATTTTGGCTCGCACAAGTTCACTTTGCGACAGGCAACTACACACGCGCCCAGGCATTCCTCTCCAGTCAGGACCTCATCTCCCGAAACCCATCATGTCGATACCTCGCCGGCCATTGCCTCATCAAGCAGTCTCGCTTTGACGAAGCCCTCGCCGTCCTGGGCGACCGCAACCCGACGCACCTCATCTCCAACGGTGCCAGCAACAAGCGCAAGACGCAGCCTCGCCAAGGGCGACGCCGCGACGACGCCGCGGACGAGGAGGCTGCGAATCGGCGGTATGAGGCCGCCATGTGCTTTCTGCGTGGCATCTGTTATGCCAAGCAGAATGCATTTGACCGTGCCAAGGAGTGCTATAAGGATGCTGTACGCATAGATGTGCAGTGCTTTGAGGCGTTTCAGCAGCTCATGGGCAACTCGCTGTTGTCGCCAGACGAAGAGTGGCAGTTCCTTGAGAGCCTCGACTTTGACTCGATCCACGTGTCAGGGGATGTGTCGTCATCTCAGGAGGCTGCTGATTTTACAAAGATGCTGTATACTACACGACTGTCCAAGTACCGGAACCCTGCAGCCTTCGAGACGGCCTACGACTCCCTCTCGACGCATTATCATCTGGCATCGAACCCTGACCTACAGCTTGCACGAGCAGACCTTCTCTACACGCAATGCCGCTACCGCGATGCGTTGACCATCACAAATTCGATTCTCCAGGAGGACAAGTACAACTTTAGCGTTTATCCGGTGCATCTCGCCTGTCTGTTTGAGCTCAGGGAGAAGAACCTGCTGTTCCTCATCTCGCACAACCTGGCCGACAACCATCCCGAGGAGCCATGCTCATGGCTCGCAGTCGGAATCTACTACTTTTCCATCGACAAGATCCCTGAGGCACGACGGTATTTTAGCAAAGCCAGCATGATGGATGCTCATTTTGGACCTGCGTGGATCGGCTTCGCGCATACGTTTGCGGCAGAAGGCGAGCACGACCAGGCGATATCGGCCTACTCTACGGCGGCCAGACTGTTCATGGGCACTCATCTACCTCAGGTGTTTTTGGGGATGCAGAATCACGCTCTCAACAATATGACATTGGCTGAAGAGTTTCTCAAGACGGCGTACGGACTGTGCAAGACGGATCCACTGCTACTCAACGAGATGGGTGTTGTCAAATACCACCAAGATAAGCCCAAGGAGGCGGCGCAGTACTTTTCCGCAGCGCTTAAGATCGCTGAGGATATAGACAGCGAGCCGTCGGCGTGGTTAGCAGCGCGGACGAACTTGGGACACGCATTCCGACGATTACGACATTTTAACCGAGCGCTGATCGAGTTTGACGAGGTGTTGAGACAAGGGGGAAAAGATGCAGCTATCTTTAGCGCCAAGGGTCTCATTCTGATGGAGCAGAACAAACCGGAGGAGGCGGTAGTAGTGCTGCATGAGGCGTTGGCGATAAGCCCTCAGGACAGCATCGCGACGGAACTACTCAACAAGGCACTCGAAGAGACGGCACTCCTTGATGGAGCTGCAGAGTCTGAAGCAGAAGACCTGGCCGAGTTTGAGCACGCACTCGGACAACGCAAGATGGAAGCCTCGGTCAAAGTGAATGGGCGAAGAGGCGGTGGAAGGGGGATGATGGACAAAGGCAAGGGGAGGGTGAGGAGATCAAGAAGAATGACAGTGCTGGAGGATGAAGAAGATGAGATAAAGGGAGACAGCATGATGGACATGAGTGACGACGAGTAACAAAGCCATCGAGAGAATGATTATGGGCTGGGTTTGTCATTGGGATAGGATAGGCGTTGGGGAAGGCATTCATGGGATTGATGCAGCATTCACATCAAAAAGGGTACATGAACAAGGCATGGATAATTGTAAATAGACCCGACAATTGATCGGAACAACCATGATGATCAAGCACGGAGGAAATCACTAATCAGCCACGCACTTGGTGATGCCAACCCTTGGTGTTTTGGACTCAAAGCCCCACAAATCTCGCATCGCACTCGCGTCCCGGACCCCACTTGCTGCAGAAGCTCGGGTCGTCGGGTGGGGTAGCCCGGCGTGTTAATCCCTCCGGGACCAATCGGGGTCTGCTTATTAAACCCCGTGAAGCATCAGCTCGGTCTTGGAAAGGTGCCCGAGGGCGGGTGGGTTGTATTACCGGGGGAGAAAGGTAGGGCTGAGTGAGAGAAGTGAGAGAGAGGGTGGCTTGATGATATGACGCGGTTTGAGGCATGAGGTTATAAAGAAGGAAATGGCCTGTTTCTTTTGATGCTTTTGAACAACATCTTATCAGAGATACATCACGTTATAAAACAACATCTTACTCTACACCTGGGATAACATCTTTCCACTTGAACAAAACATCTACCGCTCATCATGTCGCGCTACTTTCCCCACACTCCCTACGCGGAGGACCAGCGTCTATCCCACACGATCCTCACATCGCACGTAATCGCGCGAACAATCACAATAAGCAACATCATCGCAGCAGGCATCACAACAACAAGACAGCTCATCCCCGCGCTCCGGCCCAAGGCTACAGCGCTGGCCTTTACCCCGCGGCTGATCCAGTCTGCGTCGACGGGCACGGTGATAGCTTTGGGTCTTGGGGCGCTCATGACGTTGGGCCGTATGCACGGCCGGGAGGAGATTGAGTGGCAGGATCGGAGCTGGAGACTCATGGAGAATAAGGGACAGTTGGAGACGGATGACTGGACTGTTGTGGGCGCTGGTGTAGGTGCTGCACTCGGTGCTCAGGCGGCCAAGGGTTTGGGATGGAGAGGTGCTGTTGGGGGTTTGGGCTTGGGAACTGTGGGAGGTATGCTTGGGTATATGGCGTGGAGATATGGCGTGAATGGGGGCAAGTTTCCCAAGGATAAGGATGAGCTATGAGAGGTTATGTTGACATATCCAGAATGATCACGACTCCTTATTTGTAGTATACCCCTAATGCAACTCCAATCTAGTTTATATGTCAAGGAACTACAGCTTGGCTCTCACTCCCCCCTGTCTCTTGACAACATCTTCAATCTTCTGGAACTGGTAGAAAAAGTCTAGGCTTTGAGGATTCAACAATGTACCGCTTGGCTTGATTGTATGTCCCGAGATGATTTGCTTGACGGGCAACTCGACCTTTTTGCCGTTGACCGTGACCTATCATTGTTAGTTATCAACGTAAGAAGAGAGATTAAGATACTCACTGGGATCTCGGGCACTTCAAAGATGTACTTTGGAACATGCCTCTTTGTCAACTCCTTTGCAATCCTTTCTCGAATCTTCTTGTCCAACTCGGCATCAAATTTGACGCCTTCTCTCATGAGCAAGAACAAGACCACGCTCTCATCATGATCCTCAGGTCTTCTCTGTCCTACGCAGAGACTCTCAGCAACCTCTTTTGCAAATCCTCCCTCGAGAACAGCATAGATATCTGCACTGCCGAATCTGATACCACTGGGATTCAGTACGCCATCAGACCTGCCGAGAATGTGAATATGCCCCGTCACGGGATGCACAGCCGCAAAATCACCCTGTGACCAAACGTCTGGGAAGCGAGAGAAGTAGGCCGATGTGTACTTTTCACCAGGCGCTGGGTTTGTGTCGTTCCAGAGGAAGAGAGGAATGTTGGGAAAGGCTCCGGTGCCGACTAGATCGCCGGGCTCTCCATCTGCGACGGCGGTGATGGGCTTGCTGGGGTCCGGAGAGGATGGGTAGATGGCCATGGGAGTACCGAGGCATCGTCCTGGACAACCACCAGCATAGATTGGCGTCAGAGGATTCTCTATGACGAAGCAGGCTGCCTAGAAGAACAGTAAGGTTAGTTGTCATTCAAGTTAACGAATGCAGAGAAACTCACAATGTCAGTTCCCCCTGAAAAGTTGGCCAGCTTGACGCTCTTCGGAAACGCCCCGTCATAGAACCACTCAAAGACTTGTTCCTTCAGCACCATTCCCGTGCTCCCAACCCACTTTAAGCTGCTCAAGTCTGTTTCTTTCTGGGGTACGATACCAGCTTTCATGAGCTCACCTAGCCACCTTGGGCTAATTCCGAGATGGGTGACGCGCTGCTCTTTCACCACACGGAGCAGAATCGATCGATCTGGTACGAATGGTGAGCCATCGTAGAATACTGTACGTCCTCCAAAGGCGAGTCTTGCGACGCTGGCAAGGTACATGATCCAGCCGGTTGTGGTGTACTGTAACCCAACATCTTCGGGAGTGACCTCTCGATGGAGGACGGCCTCTTTGCCAACAGAGATGAGAAGGGGTCCAACACCATGGACAATGGCCTTGGGCGTTCCTGTAGTTCCAGAAGAGTAGTAAATGACCATGGGATCCTGGAAGCCGACTCTTTCGATTGGGGGAGGTGTTGACGCAGAAGACAGAAACGTCTCGAGACGTTCAGTCTGAGGAATCTTTGATGTGTCGTTGGGGACGTCGAAGCGTTGGACAACCACGATGCTCTCAAATGAAGGACACTGATTCATTCCTTCAACCATGCCGGAGATCTTGTCTCGCAGGTCAATGACTTTGCCGTTATACAAGGCTCCATCGTCGAAGAAGACAAACTGCGAATATGTTGGTTTGTGGCATTGCTTCATCAAGATGCTCTCACTCACCTTGGGATCGATCTGTACTGTTCTCTGCAGTAGTCCTCCAACACCCATATCGGTCGAGCTGCTACTAAACACACATCCAAGCCATGTCGTAGCCAGAAAGATGACCGCCGTCTCGATAGAGTGAGCACCAACCATGACAATCCGGTCTCCCTTCTTAACGCCTCTCTGCCTCATAGCACTCGCCGTCGCGCCAACTCTTCGCCGCAACTCTCCCCAGGTGACATTATTGATAGAAGAGTTGCCCTCGCGCACCTCGGTAATGGCGATAGTGTCGTCTTCTTTGTGAAGAGTCGAATGATCTCCCGGAGCACCGCCTTGAGGGCGTGTCCAGAGGAGGTTCTCTGCAAAGTTGAGGCGAATACCTGGAAACCAAGCCGGCAACTTGGTAATGGGGATAGACTCATCGACGACATGAGTATAAGTCCCCTCATGGATCCAATTCTGAGATTCCCAAAGCTGAGCATAAAAGTCACTGCGTTTAGTACAGGACCACTCATACAGTTCGTCAAAGGTCTAGTCGATATTAGCAGAGGAACTATCACCATTCACCTCGACACACCTTGAGATTGAGCCCATGTAGTCTATTCGCCTCTTGCATAAACGCCCACATGGCGGTGCTCTTAGGATCGGGATGTTCCCAGACCTTTCTAGGCACTCTGTTGAGATCCATTGTGTATGCTCTTGAGACAGCTAATGATTAAAAACAGTAAAAGACAAGAGACAAGGTTGTTGACTGAAACCTTGAGAAGCAATGACAACTCACAGCCGGGCCCTTGTTATACAGCATAGGACTTGGCTCTCCTCTCTTGTACGTCCCGAGGTAAACCTTGTCCGACTGCGGTCCACGGTGCGGGGTTCAAGCCATTCCCCAGACTTTCGCTTCATCATGAATGTGTGTTGCTCTGAATGGGGGTGTCTCACTTGCTGATCCTGTGGCGTCGTCATGCACACGAGCCGAGGCTTGTGGGCCTGTTTGTTTTGCTCTCAATGCCTTGTTATTGGTTTCTGAGGTGGACGAAGCCATCATCAACTTGTACAGAGTCTGCAATAGACCTAACAAACAAACGCTGATCAATTAATGACATTAAATGTCATGGTCTGATAATAAAGTATACATCAAGAGAAAATTGTCTTGGCCGTTTCCTGGCCGTGTCTTTTCGTGGCCCATATCCGCCATCCGTAGCATACACTCACTTGCATACATCTTCCTTCTTCCTTGCACCAAAACGCCTTGCTCAAACACAAACTGCCAGCCCCAGAATCTCCTTCCTTCTTTCATCTCTCCTTGAATCAAAGTACGCCTGTCCGTCTCTCACAGGTACGGCATCCACAGCGCATCGCACTGTGCCAAGTTCATGGGATTGACGGCCTTGGCGATGGCATCAATCACCGTCTGGTTCGCTGGCAGGTTTCCAACGGGGCTGTGAGCCAAGCTGATCGCCCTCTTAACGATCGAGTCACTGTTCATTTGCACAGAGTCTCGCAGTTGAGTCTCGGTGATGACTCCATTTCTGTGGCTGCCTGTAAACCAGAACAGCATCTCATCACGCACCAGCAGTGTCAAGGCGTGCTCCAATTCGTACTCGGGCTCCGTCAAGCACCGCGCAATCGCCATCAGCGAGCAGGCAAAGATGCCTTCTGTCGCCAGAGGTCCCATCAGTGTCTGAAGATTAGGCGTGAGTCGGAACGGCACCGGCTCTGGGTTATGGAAGAAGGGCTTGGATGCGCTCATATACGACATCATCTCAGAACCCCAAACCTTGCCCGTCGCCCTGGAAATGTTGATCTTCTGTGGGTAGCGGTTGTGCATGTACATGATGTACGTGATAAACGTCAACGCCGCGAGCTGGTACGAGAATTGTCGTCGGAACAGCCAGAACTCTGCAAACTGCGGGAACACCTTCTGGAAGTACTCGAGCGCCACCGTCGATGGCACCCACTTCTCCTGGATAGCGTTAAACACCTCTAGGCGAGCTGTTGCTGCCTGCTCAGGCTTGTTCTGTTGCAAGTTAGATTTCATTCTCGCTCGCTGCACTCTGGAATAACTTACCGAGCTCTTGCTCTCCAATGCACCCCGAAGCTTCTCCATAGTAAACAGCACGGGGTCATCCTTCGACATGCCCATGTTGCGGCAGTGATCCTCGTACACTCCCTGAAGGGTCGTGTATGATGTGTCCTCCTGCACAAGTCTTATGTGTGGCGCGAAGGGAACCATGATGGGGATCGTGAACTGCAGGTCGCGTCGTCGGGACTCCTTCTTGCGACCCAGCGTCTGGTTGAGCGACCGGAAGAGCTGCAGAATACGCTCCTCTCGTCGGCAGTGACGGGCCGCAGGATGCTGAATAGCCCACTTGTGAATGCTTCCGTCGTGTCCACGCATCTTGATACGGCGATACGACGCGCTGATAGAACGAACGAGATCGACATTGGGCAGGAACCGCTCGATTCGGATGAAGTCCTGGTTCTTGTCCTTGTGTTGCAGATACTGTCCAGGAATCTCGACCTCGTCAAACTTCTGGTACCGGAACTCGCTCAGATGGGGAGAGAAGTTCTCAAGAGAGGCACGCGGGACTCGGTGATCCAGCTTCTCCTCAAACTTGTTTCGCCAGCGGCGCAGCTTGTAGATGTACTCGTACATAGTGGGTTTGACGTCGACAAAGTCCGCCTCGAACGACTTCTTGATGTGGCTGGGCAGGATTGTTTCCGCAAAGCGAGTGATATTGACTTCAGTGGCAGAGGGCAGTTTGACATTCTTGGCAAATGAAGGAGGCGTTCGGCTGACGTAGGCGAGAGCATCGTTGAGCAACGCGACGATGAGTCTGTAGGCGTCTTCGTCCGGAGGGCACTTAAAGTTCTTTTGGATTTGATCAACCATAGTCTCCATCGAGAGCGCCAGAAGAGGGAATGCCGTCTTAAGCACAGACATGACCTCTTCAGTGTACTCCCACGGCGGCTTCTTCCCAGCCTGGCCCTGCTGGGGCTGAGGCTTTTGTGTCTTGGAGGGATCTTGTCCGTTGGTTGCTGGCGCCGGAGTACCATTCGCGTTTCCGTTGGCTTCGGCCTCGGCCTTAACTGGAGTGCCATCCGCCGCGTTCGCTGTGCTTGGCCGGGATGATGCAGATCCAGGGCGAGGAGGTTCCAGCTTTGTCAATGAAGGCGAGGCGCTCGCCTTTCCGGTAGACGCCACCGACTGCGCTCGCTGCCGTGCCGCTCTCTCCTTAGCCTCCTGGTTGCGTTTGATAACAAGCAGATCCTCGCGGTTCGTTCGAAGCTGGAAGTACAACGCTTGAGGATAGGACTTAGCAATCTTCAAGAGAAGCTGGAACACGCGAGGAGCCTCTTTGTGACCGAGGCCAGTGATCAGCTGCTGGATGAACGTGATCCAGTACCATACTGGAGTATCACCCTTGAAGTCGTCAAAGCCCATGGCAATCGTGCCCTTGGCGTCGTCCAGGCTCAGGAGCCAGAGGATTCTTGCCAGAAGCTTTCGAGACTTGGCATTCTTGTAGCTGCCGGCAGCTTGTAGGTAGGACGTAAGCGCCTGTCGGGCTGCGTTAAGGTCGCTGGGATCCTCCTTGAACTTGCGATCGTTGAAGTAGCCCCATTCAGCCCAAGCCTTGGCTGCGCCGATGTCGAAGTACAAAGCTGTACCATATGCGGAGTCTGCCTCTTCCTTCTGCTTAAGCTTCTCCAAGAACATGCCCTTCAGTGTGTAGAACTCGGCCTTCTGTTGTGGACTGAAGTAGTTGAGGTTCGTATTGTTAATAACATCCAGTCCACTCGTCAACTCGTCGGGGTTCTCGTAGTGACACTTGGCCTGCTCTCGCAACTTGAGGAAAGCTTCCTGAATCTCAATGTTGGGCAGCGTGTAGATGCGGCTAAGCTGGCTGATGCAGACTTCTGGCAGGCTGTGTTTGCGTGCAACATGGGCGAAGCGGTTGATGATCCAGGCAGTCTCATGGTAGCCGCGGTAGGCAAACGAGGACGCTCCACCGGCATTCTGCTGACCCTGTTGAGGAAGCAGCTGCAGGTATGTTTGGTTGATGAGGCTGAAGATGTGTTGTCTCCATGTTACTAGATCTTGCCAAGCCGTGATATCATCCCAGACGTTGGGGAGTCGATCACGCCAAGCACCGAGAAGTAGCTTGAGCTCGCCAGACTTGACATCCAGGTTCGTCTGGTTGGTATTAGCAAGGCTTTGGCAGATGACGCTAGCGTCATGTAGCTCAACCAGTTGTTGGAAGTTCTGAAGAAGTGGGATGTGGGCGTTTGTCAATCGCACGGGCAGCTGATGCCACTTGCGGATCGACAGCTGAATAGCCTCATCACACACACGAGAGAAGTCCCCCTGGGTTTCCTGCTGGTTGTGGTACTTGAGGAGCGACATGAACGCCTGGAAGAAGGCTCGGCGAGGAGTTGGAGCGTCCATGACGCCCTTGATAATGTTGTCCAGAGCCTCTCGGTGCTGCTCTTCTTGCCACATGTCCGTGTTTCGCCAGGCACATTCGAGGAGAAGATCCTGGAAGTTCTCATGCTTGGCAAAGTCTTGGAGAATCTCCCACTGCTGAAGCTTCTGCGCGCAGAGAACCCAGTGGTCCTCCCAGAGCATGTACTCTGCTTGCGAGAATGGAATGACGCCAGTTCTGGCCTTGATCTGCGCATTCTCGTAAAGCTTCTGGGCCTTGTCCCACATGCCATTCTGTTCATACGACAATGCTGCATTAGTCTCAACAAACTGGCAGCGTCGTCGCCAGGTGCCATAGAACAGGTCGTCCTCTTGAAGGGAAGCATAAAGCTCGACAAGCGCATCGAGGTTGCTCTCGCGGACCGTGGTAGATTCAACTTGCGGCTTGATGGCGGCATTTTCAAGCTGCACAAGAGCTGTATACCACGCGTCGTAGGTCTTGGCTTCAAACTTGAGCACGTGCGGTGGAATCTTGCACTCGGGCCAGGTCTTGGCAGCGCCGTCAAGGAGTGACTGAACGACGTTGGGGCGCTTGTCGATTTGGCGGCTGTGGTAATCCTTGGTGAGCAACGCCACGATGCCACGCTCGAGGTCAACTCTCTCGTCCTTGGCAGTGGCGGACCAGTAGATAGGGAAGAGAGTCACCCATAAGTTGTGAGCGAGCTGTGGGTCGACGTGCTGGAGCTGCATCAAAGGCTCGATGACATCTCGAACCTTGACATCACCGATTTCCGAAATGAAGCGTCGATGGGTGGCCATGAAAGACTCAAACTTGTCATCAATCATGACTGTCGGCTCCCTAGCTTCCATCTCCTTGGTGCAGATGGTCAGAAGACGAGAAACGGGCAGCGTCTTGAAGTCGCCTTGGTCCAGTTGGATGTTGGCGTTCATCTCCACAGCGCCAAGCAGCAATTGAGTAGCTTGTGCGAGCCAGTACGAGTCAGCAAGGGTCTCCCAGTTCTGCGATGTCAGGACATAAGAGAGACGTGCACTGGCAGACTTGGACAGACTCTTGTCAAAGATGGCCATGAAGCGATTGCGCATCTCGACATCAGTCGCCCTGGTACCAATGAGGAACGCGTGCTCCATCCGCACCGTGAGCTCTGTACGAGTGATCTTGGGATCCTCGTAGATGCGGATGACGAGATCCAAGAACTGGGACAACATGGTAGGATCCTGTCGGTGCTCAAATGAAAGCATCTTATGCAGAACAGCCGTCTTCTCCTTAAGAGTCGGCCATGTTCCTTCAGACCTGAACACCCATCCTTCGACCATGTTGAGAATTTCTTTGCACAACTCAATATGCATCGACTTCTCTACCAACGTTGCAAGAACGCTGAGGAAGGGTCGACGGTTGTCCCCAAGCACCTCCATTCGCAGGGCTACCACTTGGATCTCCTTGATCATGAGCTTGGTCTGGATGTCGAGGTCATAAGCCGACATCTCGCCAGTGGGTGTGTTGGGGTCCTGGTTCCTGTTGTTGGCTCCATTGGTTTGGTTCTGGATGGCATTGTAGTGCTGTACATGTTCTCGTGCATGCTTCCCTTGAAGAGCCTTCATCAGAGACATGATGTGCTGGTCGATGACGGTCGGCTTTCGGTTGCCAAGAGACCATAGAATGTTGACACCAGATGTGTAGCTGTTGCTGTTCATCGCCTCGGTAGCAAGCTGGGATAGGTACGCGACGATCTCTGACGTTTGAGTTTCTGTCTCGCCATCGCCATCGGCGTCGTCCATTGGCGTATCATCAGGGACAGAATCCAGGATGCGCTTGATGATTGAATGGAGCTCGCGATCATCATCCAACTTCTTGTCAGAAAAGTGCAAGCAGTCCTGGATCTCAGGGTTCTCTGACTTGAGGCACTTCTCCAAAGTCTTCTGAATGGTTGGCATATTCTTCTGGATCCAATCATCTGACTTGGAGTTGAGAACAATGCGAACCACTTGAAGCGTGTTGATGATGTTTGTCAGGAACTTCTCATCATACTTTTCCTTGTCGGATGGATCAGCATTGAGGATTGTCTGCGTCTTCTCGCTGGCCAAAATGACTTGAGTAACATTAGGAAACAAGTCGAGGTCAAGGTCACCCCAATACTGAGGCTGCACCAAGTTGTGAAGCAGCGTCATAGCCTTCTTGCAGAGGTCCGTCAAGGCTAGTGGAACGGGGGGGATGGAAGACGCGGTTTGATCCCGAGGTTTAGCTGAGGGAAGCTCATAACGTTCGTTCAGCTGAGCGATGAATTCGACGAGATATTTGATCATCTTCAAGCGGTAGGGAGGAGGAATCTGGTACTCGACTCGCTCCGCATGGCGAGCCATTGGTGAGGAAGTATTCGGTTGCTCAGTCTCGAATTTTCTTTTCTTCGCGTTCGGCGATTCAGAGAGAGATCTTGTTTGAAGCAGGGGAGACTTCTTTCCTTCAACCCGCCATTCCTCCCAAGTCCAAATCAGCCACATCATGTTGAGGCAGAGCCGTTTGCTCTCATGGGATGCGTTCTGGGGAGTTGCAAGCTTGCGCAACGATGAGATCATCGGAACAATGTACTTGTCACGGGCAGCGTAAAATAGTTCTGGGTGTTTGACAAGGAAGTGGAAGATGCTCGTCATCTGTTGAGCATTCTGTCCTTCGTCTGCGAGAACCCGACGAGGTGCAACAGCCCAGAAAGCGTTTCGCTCGCTTGGGCCAGTTCCACATCGCTTGGGCAACACAGGTGCAATCAACTCCAGTGCTTGTGTCACCAGTGCGCGTCCCTCATTCTGGTTGGCCTTGAGGAGTGAAAGGTAGACCTGTGTGACAATCTTGGGAGGCGTCTCGTAGTGGGCAATGAAGTACCCAATAACGACGTAGGCGGCGTGCTTGTTGATCACATCGTCAAGCCGGATGAATGTCCAGCCAAACTTGATAATATCCTTACGCGCTTCTTGTAGCGTAGTGTGATAGTACTTGACCAACATCGCTGAGAGCTGCAGCACCTCGTAGCGGGTAAAGTCGATGCCAGGCTGGGCTTGATCATCCATGGTCATTTCTGGATGAACCTTCCAGATCTTGCTGCTGACAGACTCGATCACAGTTCGGTCCATGAGCCTGGGGCTCTTGTTCTGATCCAGCTGGTTCCAGCGACGCTTCACATCCATGGCCACGATTGGGTTGACAATGTAGTGTAGCAGGAAGTGCTTCATCTTGTTGGATGCCGATTTGCCCGCGTAAACCTCCAAGCAGCGAAGGATGGTCGTCTTCCAAAAGTCGATGGCATCACTGCAGATTAACTTCTCGTAAATGAACGAGAAGAGTTCCTGACTGCTGCGAAGCTGATCAGAAGTCACAGACTCAACCAGACTAAAGAGAGCGTCCAGATCCTTGGGGGCCCTTTCAAGTGACTTGACAAGAATCGTCATGAGTTGCTCTGCTGCTTGGAACGCGGGCAATCGAAGGTGAGCAGGAAGGGTGTGCTGTCGAAGGTTTGTTTCCAGCTCCTTGCCAATGTTCTTCAGCCAGTCCAAATTCTCCTTCTTGTCCATCCACTTCTCAGAGCTGGAGAAATGGCTGATAGACTCAAAGATGTGGATGGTGTTGACCATGGCGATGAACTTGGCCTCGTTGTTCTGGCTCATGATCTCATTGCAGCGGTTCATCAATCCCTCCACGTTCTCAACTGCCACTTCTCGCAGGGCATTGCTGTCGGCATGGCGAAGAACCTGGGCCAGGAATCGGCCATACTTGAGGTCGTCAAGCTTTCCGAGAAGATAGGCCCAGATTTCCTTGGGATACCGGTTGAGATACCTGTACATGGGCAGGCGGAATGGACTTTGCTGGGTTCTGCGAAGTTTGTCTTCCAAGCCGAGGAAGCAGTCGATCAAGCGCTCCTTGAATCCCTCAGCAAGTGCTGGTAGTAGATGAAAGATGTTCAAGATGGCTGTGATGACCTTCATCTGAGGATGTTGGTCAAAGAAAGTGAACGAAATCTGCTGCAGTGCACTTGGCTCAACGATAGAATCGATCTGGTCAAGTAGACGGGCTCCAATCTCGACCTTAAAGTAGCTTGTGAGCAACTTCAGTAGTCTGGACAAGTTGTCCAGTCCAGAGACACTGAGGCGTTTGGGGTCCGAAAGGCTCTGAAGAACGGGACGCAACCCTCCCTGCAGAAGCTCCTTCGGCAGACGCCTATCAACAGAGAGAACCGACCGCAAGGCATCGTTGGCTGCTTGCAGAGTTGGCTTCGACTCGGAATACAAGCACTTAAAAAACACGCCAAGAATCTTAGTCTTGGTCGGGCTATTCGAGAACTCCTCAAAAGTCATTGCAGTCGTCAAGAGCTTGATACACGAGACCCGAAGGTTAACGATGTTCTCATGTGTGCGGAACTCAGCGGGCTTGTTGGCCAAGGACTCGTCACTCGCATCAGCCAGAGCCAAAGACTCCATCAACAGACGGTTCAAGTTCTCGTCGAACGTCACCCAGTCGTTCTTCAGGCTCATGTGATAGTCCATGGCGTTGATATAGCCAATCTGGATTGCAAAAGGCAGCGCGCGCAAAGGCTTGGCGTAGATTGGCTGAAGGAACCTATCCTTGTAAGGCTCGAGAAGTTCCCAGACTTCACATTTGGCCGCCTTTGCGATGAGTTCCAGGGATCGCTTAGCAGTTTCGCGAACATGCTTGTTCATATGGGAAAGCTCGTTGTTAAACTGCAGGCAGATCTGAGCAAGCCGGGGTTGCTTGACCTGAGGATTGGGTGGCTGGCCCTGTGGTGGCACAATGGGGAGAGCATCGTCTTTCGTGATGTCCTTTGTGATGCGCTGCAAAAGCACCTCGAGACTTGTCTGAGCCAGGCACCGAGTCTTCTCAGGAAGGTCCTGTGGCATGTCCTTGATCACATACGTGAGCGCGCGAATGAATTCACTCTGCTTAGAGGAAATCCAAGCATCGCCAAGGTCAAGCTCTGTCAGAAGAAAGTTGATTCCCAGGCTACCGCCAGCCTTGGTAAACCATTCCTCTTCATAACAGCTGTGGCAGAAGGTGCTGCTGAGGTGGCTGAAGAATGGGAGTTTGCCGACTTCAGTGTCTGACCCAAAGATAATCGCAGTGGACGTATGCATCTCGCGGATGGCTCGTTGACCAGCCTCACGTACATCAGGGTGGTCTGAAGCAAGGGACTCAACAATGGCATCCGACAAATTCCGCGTGTCAATATGCAATGGACCTTCACCAGCATTGGGGTCGAAGGGGCTGAAATTCCGCTTCAGGTCCACAAGAGCCCGACCGACCTCGATGATTGCAAAGTGCTTGCAGACGTTCAGCAGGAAAGCACTTGCTTCCTCTTTGAATTCGGGAATCGACTCAGCAAACATGACTGCCTTCAAGAGCTGCTTGACAGTCAAGTCCTCGCTCTCCTTCTTGGGAATAGACCGCTCGCGGTCCGAAATCTCAAAAGGGGCAGAGTTGATGTCGTATTTGCGAGCAACCAGATCCTCGGCCTGCAGACGCAATAGCCGTGGAAGGTCGTCTGGAAGTTGGTCGAATCCGATGCGTAGCTTCAGTTGTGATTTGATCAAGTTGAGAGCCTGCTTCTTGTAGTATCCATCGTACTGTCGATTCTGGTTGTTCTTGGTCGCCTTGGGAATTTCCATGAGCTTCTGAATAGCAAACTCGATGCCCATCTCAGCAGGGAAAGCTCTATCCTTCTTGGAACCGAGAAGTCTCAGATCAAAGCTCGAGGGGTCGTCCGCGTACTCTCTGTAGGCAAGAGGAACAGCTCCAGTCATGAACTTGCGGTTTCTGCCGCCCAATTTGCCGAGGATTCTCATTGTTGTGTGAGCGTGGAAGTGGCTGTAGGGGTGCGGCTTGAGGTGGTCAAACAAGGCAGTCATGAGCTCATCGATCACAGGGGCCATGATGGGGTCGAGATAGTCAGCCGTAAGATTGTCAACGCATAGCTCAAGGGTTCTCAAGCCTTGCCCAACAAGGTCTGTGCCGGCGCGCAACGCGACCACCAGCGGGCGCATCAAGAAGCTCAGGTGAGGTAGCAGGTGGCTAAGGCGAGCCGGGACTGTAAGACAAAGCTCCACGTACAAATCGCGCTCGGCCGGCTTCCTGGCTGCCATGAGCAGATTGTTGAGCACATCCAACAGCATCTCAAGAAGGGGAAGGATTTGCTTGTAGAGCTGCTCGAACTTGCCACCGCCGATGCTGCGGAACAATGAGCGCAACAAGAGGAAGTAGTTCATGGGCTCTTCGGCCTTTGTCGACAGCTCGATGGACTTGGTGACGATATTGACGACATGGGGCAAGAGAACCTGCTCGTTCTGGCTGGCAAACAGTGTCACCGCCATAAACGCCAACTTAAAGAGTCTCAACAAGATCGAAGACTTTTTAACGTCGGCAGAGCCCACTTGGTCAATCCTTTCCATGAGAAACTGCAGAAGCATCCCGCAGAAACTAGGACTGGTGGCTTCACTGGCAAGGAAGAACTGGGGGATATGTAACAACGCTGTATGTTCAAAGATCATGTCGTAAAGACGGGGAATCTCCTGCTGGAACACTTCGTGGAATGTTGCTGGATCAATCGCGTGGAAGACGGTAGCAAAGGTCTCGAGCAAGTCCTTCTCTTCCTTGCTACATGAGACCATGTAGAAGTTAGCCATATACTCCACAGGAGACATGTACTGAGACTCGGCTGCAGGCTTCTCGATCTCGTAGTATCTGAAAACATAGGCACCCTCTCGGAAGAGCTTGATGATGACCTTAACCTCCTCAGCAGTGAAGCCATAAGAAACATCCTGCCAATGAGCAGGCGCATTCTGTGGGTCGATGGGAGACCCAACATTGCATGTTCTGAGCTGATAGAAGGTGTTCTTAAGGCCTGTCATTAGGTTCCTGAAGAGAAACTTGTTATCGACAACTGGATCAGCACCTCGGTCACGCGGGTTTGAGGTCTTGATGGGCACTGCGGCAAAGATGTCCGTCTCGTCCCAGTCGGGAGGGTTGTTCTTGTCAGCCAGGTATGTCTCAGGCGTGCCAGCCTTCATCTGCTCTCGGTAGAGTGCCGAGAGTTTCACCGCATTGGGATATTGTCGATTCATGGCGGCAAACTTGTCGGCAATCGCGTTGAGAATCATGATGAGATAGTGTCGCGCATCGACCTTGTTCGGAAGCTTCGCAATACACTCTGCCATGTTGAGGAGGAGCTTAGCGCTCATCGTTTGAAAGCTCGTGCCCGGGAAGTTATCCTGGAGATTCCTGGTATACACCTCAACAGTCTTCTGGATCTGCTCTGGCTTCAGGGAGTCTCGAACATGGTGAATGAGATCCGCAAGCATGCTGTACGCCAACGGACGCATAGTCTCGTGAACGGTAAGGCCGTCACCCGTGAGTGTCCGTTCGTCCAACAATTCGTCGATTTTGGGAATGAAGATCTTGCGGAAGTTGTAGTTGATGATATGGCGGATTGCGACAATCAGCTCCTTTCGTGTCCCAGACTTTTCCCTTGGGCAATCCTTCAGAAGTCGCAGCACAATGTCGGGCAAGCGGGGGAGGAAATCGTTCAATTGCGAAGCATACTGGCGCAGTAGGTAGGCCAGGAAGCTCATGGTCTTAACCTGTGCCGTAATGAAATCTCCGAATGCTGCCCGGTTCTTGATCGCAGGGCTGACTCCAGTGTGAATCGTGCCTTTTGCGGCGGCATCCGCGTGGGCTTGTTGTTGGGCCGCTGCTTGCAGGCACAGCACATTCTGGATGAGGGGAACAAACTTCCTAACATTTTGTGCCACTGTGTTACGATAGACCTGGAATATCGACACAACGATGATGGGGCATTCAGAGAGGACCTTGAAGGACTGCATGCCCTTCAGCAGAGGTCGGTTCTGTTGCTGGGGGTCGGCTCCGAGGTCGTTCACTGAAGCAACGGGCGAGCCGGGCCGTGGGGATTGGAAGTTCGTCTGCGAGCTGCCTGGGGTCGAGGGTGCGCCTGGTTGTGACGGCGCGTTGTGAGGAGCATTATCGAGTTGTTCGCGTACCACCTTCTCCATCTGTTCGAAGAGTTCCTGAATCAACGAGAGGAAGAGCTGGACTTTGCCTTGCAGCACCTTGTGCTGGTGCCGCATAATGTCCGATGTGATTTTCACACATAGCGTCGCATTTTCTTCATTATCTGTTCGTACAAGTTGCATCAACAAATCGACGGTTTCTTCGGCGAAGGGTTCGAACGGCTCGGCGGGGCTAGGCTGGGTAGGTAATCGGTGGAGGACTTCGAGGATGCAATTTCGGAGTTTCTAGCTACATGTTAGTAGCAACTCGATCGACAGGTGTGCTCGAACCGACCTGCTCCGGTGAGTTGCTCTGGAAAGTACATGGTCCTCGAAGAATGCCCATAAAGATGGGCATCAAGCGTTTCAAGAAGGGCGGGTATATGGGACCGGTGGTGTAGTGATCCAAGCTGTCACGCAACGTGGTTGCAGCTTCGAGCTTAAGCCTGACATCTATAGTACAAGACAATCAGCAAAACCATGGTCACCAAGGGCATGCGACAGCGTGGGGGGGTACAGCTTCGCGGGAGCTCGTACCTATGTCGGCAGCGCTCAGTCGCTTCACGACATCGTCAATAGTGGTGCCCGACATTGCTGCATTATCGGCGTCCACACGACGCGATGCGACCTTCCATGCGCAAGAGGGCGAGTTTGCTGGGTGTTGGCTTCTGGTGTCTGGGGTGTGAGCTTGGGAGCTCGTGGATCGCGAGGCTGTCGCGAAAGCTTGCGATGCGGCGCAAACACGGGTATCAATTAGAATAAAGGTCTGGAAAGGAAATCTCGTGAGGTTTGCGTCCGTAAGTAGATGATGTGTCGTGATTTTCGTGCGGGGTCCTTGTTAAAGAGGGTTGAAATGTGAAGGTTAAGGTTGACACAGCCCGCAGAATGGTTGACTACGTGAGGTCGCCTTCGCGTTGAAAATTACAGGAAGGTCCAATGCTGGGGGGTGCAGTCACCAATTCCACATGCGCTAAGCCCGCGATAAAGTTCGGCCGGCATTAGCGTCAGCTGCCACGACCAATCACGGACAAATTGGCTGCTGGGGAACCAGGGGAAGGTGAGAAGGAGACACCAGTACAAATGTACTAACGTATCCTGCTCTGAAAAGGATACCAAAGGCATATGTTTCGAATAACGAACAATTTTAAACACCCTCCTTTCTATAAGATACATTTTAATTGTTTATTTTATTTTTTCTAGTATTTTCTCAATTTTATTTACGATTACATGCCCTGACAGTGAAGTATCTTCAGATACATTTGCTGTTCTGATGTCTCACTCATTTCGTGACCCACGTACAGGGGCATTTACCCCGAGTTGGCCCTTTATCTTATCCTTATCTTATCTCCCTCCGTCCCTTGTTTGTCCTTCGCGTTGACTTCGATGACTGGCTCCCCTGGTTGACAATCCGAGAGCTGACCGGGAAACAGCCATGCCTTTGTCAAGTTTTTCGAGGTAGCAACATAAAAACTTCATGAGCTCTTTGTACGATGAACGAGTAACATCCTTGGCTTTATTCCTCTTTAAGCAATTTTTGCCATATAGCTAATACACAAATGGAAGTTTCCATGCAAGTGACTGTCCATGAGGTCCGACTGCCCCACCAATTATGGAGGGGAGCCATACGTGCTGTTAGTGGGGATGATTGCCTCCTCTCAAGCAGCCTCCTACAAGCAATCACCACTTCACCTGGGAGATAGCTCGGCGTCACCCTGAAATATATATAAGGGCAGCTTGCAACGCACATCTTCAACTTCTCGTCTCTTATCCTTCAACATCTCATCGCCAGAACTGAATCAGAGCATCCTCACCCTACAACACCATCACTTCTACCCAACCATACTATCTGAGCCTTGATAACAGCCTCACCTCTCTCACAACTACACATCTGTCAACCATCTGACAAAATGAGTGGAGACAACACCGCCTTCTTCTATGGTAAGAAGTCTTTCGTCGATACAGGGTATGTGTGAGTACCATGCTAACCTAGTTTCTAGGCACACTGGTAGGTTGCACCCTCAACTTTTTCGACTGCGAACATGCGGTTTCACGAACAGGAGACAGTGACTAACCGCCGCAGATGGCCCCGGAGGTCTTCTTCAGTGTCTGCTACGGAAACAAGACCCCTCCCAAGGTTATCCAGGACCTGCACACATTCACTCCGGCCATCCTGGAGGGGTACTGCCGCCACCGAGTTCAGTTCGCCGACTACCCTGGTGTTATCGCTGAGAAGGGACACACCGTCCTCGGTATCTATGCCACTGGGCTCACAGACGCCAACGTTCAGAAGCTCGACAATTTTGAGGGACCCGAGTACACCAAGACGGCCGTCCAGGTTAAGCTGGTGAAGAAGGATGGAGACAAGACCAGCGAGGGCGAGAGCAAGGAGACCTCGGTCTACGTCTTCAACACTCCCTCGCACCTGGAGAAGGTCGAATGGGACTTTGAGGAGTTCCGAAAGGACAAGATGCAGTTCTGGACCCGAGGCGGCTGGGCGTTCGATCCAGGCAAGTCTCTCATTCTCATTCGCAAGGTCACCTTTGCTGACATCACTGGACCAGACACGGCCGATCAGATTCCCGACAACTAATTTGGTCATGTTTCTGTAAGCGCCTGCCTAATGTCAGCGCCTGGCCGGGCATTTGGCTGCAGAAGACAATGCATTTTGTGAGCTGGCGGTGAGGTCTGAGACGTCGGTACCAATAGTTTGGTAGACATGTTGGGATGGGAGATAGAATTACGACAGCCCTACGAGTACGAGAATAGACAAAACATTCATTGCGCCCAACAACGCAAGCGCCCGGAAATATCAAGGAGGAGGGAAGTCGATGAGCAACCAACAGACAATGCAGACTTGTTGGTCTCGCCCCGCCAGAACATTGGTACTGGTCCTAGCCCTTACCGAGCGGTTAACCTCTCCCAGCAGTCTGGAACAGAATTCATAACAAGTTTTTTGCTTTGCTTGCTGTTCTCAACAAATTTTGAACATCAGTAGACGACCGTTTGCAAAAGAATGGGCATGATCCCCAACCGGTCGGTCCCGAAAAATAGCAAACTTACACGGCGCCATCAAGACCGTAATCGTAACATTTGGCGTACTCATCATGGCATGATGGTCCATGTCCCAGATTGCATTAACTCTTCCTGAAAGAAGTGTCACAGATAATCCTTCAAAGGTGAAGGTAACATGGAATGTCTGGCGTAGAATACAAAGTGGCAAACTATAGACTGATCCGTCAAGATTCAGCCAGGCTGCGTAATCTATATGTGAAATAGCTAACTCACCGTCGCTGTCGTACGAAGTGGCCAAAACAGTTACAGGTGAGATCCCCCAGGCGAGTACAGAAAGTTTCACGACGCGTGGCTGCTATTACTAGCCCTGTCAGTAATGTTTGAAGTGAAGATCAAACAAGCCCGATCACCATCGTCCAGGGTCCTCAGGGTAACTCCGTGCGTGGAGTCATGATGGAGATTGTTCGTTCATGCAGAATTTCAACCACGGCTGTCGAAATCATGAGCATGTTGAATCCCAAGATCCTTCAGATCAGAGGCGTGATTTCAGCAGATCGTCTCAACTCGAAGATCTCTGGGGTCCTGGTCCTGGTCGTCGAGGTTGCGAAGAAATCGGCGAGTTTCGTCCGATTCTACAGACCCTGGTCCGTCTCCACGTTAAGTAGTGTTGGTCGTGTTGAAGAAGCCGCAGATGCTCATGGTCACGAGGAAAGTGGCAACTTGAACGCGAGGCCTTTCAGGCGACTATACCAGACCAGCTATTGGTGTTTTGATCAGGATGCATCAAAGCAAGAAATGTTTGCTTACAGCATCGCCAAGCTGGATCTGGCGTCACAAGGTCTTTGCGATTGGACATCAGGATGCGCCCAAGGCATCCAGTGACTAGACGGCTCCTGCGTTCCTTACCTCAGATGCCATAGGGCAAGACACGAGGGGCTGGGCATATCGGGAGAGGGCTGCAGAACGGGTTGCAGGTATTCAGACACTAAAAATCACCTATTGATGACTATTTTCCAAGCTGTCTATCTCACCTCTGTCAGCCCGCCACGTCAGGAAAGTACGGAGCTCGGATGCCTCCGGGCGGCTATGGCCATACCTATCCAGCCAACCAACCCCACTAAAACACCACCACCAACTCAGTCAAAACACCAAAACACCAAAACGCGAAACATCACGATCCTCCCTGCGGCAGGACGGCAGCCGAGACTTTTGGGACTTTGGTTCCTGCAAACCACCGAACCCGTGTGAATGACACCTCCCACGTGTGATTGGCCTCATTGTAGAGCTCAGAGACACCGGGAAGAAGGGACGTCCATGAAACTGGCCCTGTTTCACTAGGTCTAGGAGGACAGGAAAACGAAGAAAAAACTTTCCGACTTGCAAACCCCCTTACCGCTGCGGAGTAACCGCCCAAAAGGGGAGGAGTGTCAGGAGACATTTTCAGTCTCAGACTGTTCTAGGGCCACGCGTGAAGGCTGTCAGGCTCGAGATCTACTGAACCCCTGATATGACGGCGATCTCTCAGGGGATTGGGCCAGAGGCCTCAGTCTTGGCTTGTGATGGCAACAATAATGGCTCACTCGTTCGGAGCTGAGTAGTCAATAGTCCCAAGTCTCACCAAGGATGTCAGTCCAGAAGCCGTCAGGTGCTAGAGCACCTCCGTTGACACAGCCTGTGCCCGAAGGCAAGCAAGTGTCCTCACCGCGCAGCATCTATCCATCTTTTCGGCAGTCGTCCCGTCTCACAGTCGACAAACGTTTGAGGCTTGGCAGAGTGGTGATGGCCGACTGGTTGTGGCTCGTCACCCGCTAATCCGTTTCGATACGATCGGCTGGTCCGACCCTTGCCGTCCAGCCTTGTATCCCTGTCATTTACCCCCTGATTGGCATCCGGCCCCGCTGACCAGGGTCGTATTCTTGGAATGGCTGGCGGGGGACGACGGACAGCCACCTCAGGAACAGCACGAACAATGCATTGACTTGTCGACGAGCCCGGATCACTGAGGCAAACGAGCAGCCCCTGAACAGAACGTCGAGATCTTTTGAGATTCTCCTCTGCAAGCTGCCGCAGGAGTCGGTGCTCTGAAAACCTTGAAGCAGGGGGATTCTGCCGGGGATGAGAGGCTCAGAGCCCAATGCCCAGAGCCCCATTACCCTGTCCCATGACGTTGGAGACGAGGGAGACCTGGTGGCCGCATGAGGCCCCAACGTCCCCATTCTGTGGCGGACGTCCTCCCAGACTCTCGGTTCAACCTGGCCTGATTGGCGGCCGCCCAACTGGAGCGTGCCGAGAGGACTTCAGTCCACACCAACCACATGGCTTCTCAGTCATCGCTACACCGCACTCAGCTTCCTCGCCACTCATCGGCGGCCTACGCTAAGCTGACGGCATGAAGCAGCACTACGAATCATGTCTTTGTGTGGCTCAGAAATGCCAGGAACCCGTCTGCATGCGGCGCGGAGGCGCCTTGCAGCTGGACAAGGGGAGACGACGCTCGACACTTCGTTTCCTCACCTACTGCAACCTCTTTCTTTTTTCAGAAAGAAACGATCCCTGGCAAACGCCTGAGTCGCTAGCCAGGGGCTCGAACCTCGTCTAGGCTCTGGGGTGCGTATAGGCCCAGTCCACTCACACTTTTGTTTTGGTGACGGGATGGTTCTTGAAACGATGCCTCCAGCCTATCATGGACACGGCACTGCAAATCTCCCTCTTCGCCACGACGCCCTAGTCCGTCCGGCGTGCTTCGAAACAGAACGGTTCAAGCGCATTGAGTCAACTGAGTGGCTGTGGACGAAGGAAACGTGCCGCTTCCATGCCGGCACGGGGGATGCAGTCCACCATGATCGGCTTCTGAGTTGCAGAGGCCCGCATCCGTCGGCAGTGTCCTTCCGCTTGCGTCTCTCCTAGGAGCTCTGTTGTCCAGTCCTTCTCGTGAACTCTGGTCCATATAAGACGACCCCGTCACCGCACACAAGTTCCCTTTCTTCTCACCAACGACTTCAAAAGTCTTCAGTCAGTCCTTTCAAGTGAGATTGTCTCAACGACATTTCCATTCCTTCATTTTCTCTTTCACAAAGGCTAGTCCTTTACTTTCATTCTCAACTACTCTCTCTCTTCACGTATTGCCTGGTGCATTACTATCCTTTGGTTAACAATACCACACGTCGAGCTACGACTTCTTGTCCTATACCCATACTCGACACTGTCTTGACGACAATCTCACGACTCTCAACTACGAATCTATCGTCTGGAACGTTTAGACTCACTCCTTCATTCAAAATGTTTGCAAAGACTTTCACTCTTGCTAGCCTGGCTACCTTTGCCAGTGCTCACATGCTCATGAACAACCCCGTTCCTTTCGGAAAATCCACTCTGAACAATGCTCCCCTGGATGCAAGTGGCTCGGATTTCCCTTGCAAAATGCGTGAGGGAACCTACGACCTTCAGGGAGCCAGCAATGTCTACGCCCAGGGCAGCACTCAGCAACTCTCTTTCACTGGTCAGGCTGTCCACGGTGGTGGCTCGTGCCAGATCTCCATTACCACTGACGAGAACCCCGACAAGAACTCGGTTTGGAAGGTCATCAAGTCCATCGAGGGTGGTTGTCCTGCTAAGGGACAGGAAGGGAACATGGGCGGTGATCCCAATGCTGAGGATCCCTACAAGTATTCATACACCATTCCCAAGGAACTGGCCGCTGGCAAGTACACCCTTGCCTGGACTTGGTTCAACAAGGTCGGAAACCGAGAGATGTACATGAACTGTGCTCCTTTGGAAGTCACTGGCTCTGGCGGCTCCAAGGACCACCTGAGCTCCCTGCCCGATATGTTCGTTGCCAACATTGGCAACAACTGCGGAACTGAGCCCGACAAAGATGTTCAGTTCCCCAGCCCCGGAGATGATGTTGACCGATTCAATGGGGCCACCGAGGCTTGGGCCAAGCCTACTGGCTCATGCCCTGCTGGTTCTGGCTCCGGCTCTGGTGGTTCTGGTGGCAGTGCTCCCACTGCTACCGGTGGCAACGACTCTCCTGCGCCGACTGGTGGTAACGACGCTCCTGCTGCTACTAGCGCCGAGGCCCAGCCTACTCAGGCTCCTGAGAAGAGCATTCCCGGTGGTGTTTTCATCACTGTCTCTCAGCCTGCTGCCTCTCAGCCTGCTGCCTCCCAGCCTGCCATGTCTCAGCCTGCCATGTCTCAACCCGCCGCAGAGGAGCCCGCTACCACCCAGGCCCCTACAACCACTGCTACCCCCGCTACCCCTAGCTACGGATCCGGTGATGGCTCTGAATCTGGTAACGGTTCTGGCTCCGGCGATGGTACTGAATCTGGTGGTGACTCTGGTTCTGGTTCTCCCAGCGGTGGTTTCGCCGCAGGAACGGCCTGTACCAGCGAGGGCGAGTGGAACTGTATCGGCGGCTCGTCTTTCCAACGCTGTGCCAGCGGTGCCTGGACTGCTACCCAGCAACTCTCTGGTGGTGTTTCTTGCACCCCTGGCCAAGCTGCTGACATTGGCCTCACTGCTAAGAGGGGTCTGAGGGCTATGCGCCGGGTGACTCGATTCCGAGCTTGAAGTGATGATTTTGATGGAAACCCTTGTTACATACGAGGGAGGAAAAGACGGGGCAAGGGCGTTATGACGGATATCTTCGGTTTGCTGATGTACATATATCATTTACAAACTTGAGCTCACGGCTCAACACACATTTCTTTATCTTTGGAAGTAGAATTAGGGATCGACTCTCAGGAGTCAATCTTCAACTCAGTTATGCAAAACAATTGTCTCAAAAACTCTTCGTGCAAGTCACAACAAGGTTCATCGCGTCTCTAAGTACCTAAGTAACACAGATCACCAATACATCGAGGATGCTTAACTGAGTCTACTAAGGGTATAATTAATATAAGCATTACTTCTACAAAGGTTGGGTTTTCCATCTTATAACCAGGTTCCGCTTCTCACAGAGCTCCGCACAGGCTTCTGGCTACGTTGACTCAACTTCATCCACATTCGTTCAAGGATGTATTTCTTTCCTCTGAGCGAGGATGGCTCGATAGGCACCACATGAGGGTCTAGTTCGATTCCCAGGTGAACTTCTCCGTCCGCACCCACGTACCTCCCAAAGCTGAATGTCCGATCGGCTTGGCCAGGCATGTGTTTTGACAGCGAGCTCACAAGCCTGCTTGGGGCAACATATGCCAGGATCGAACCTATCGTCGTAGGCATGCGTGGGAGCACAAAGGCGACGGCCCGTACGTAAAATAGGGCGGCCACAACAATATTGAGACCCAGCACGGACATTGTTATCACAAATGAGGCGTCTTCCATAAAGATCCTAACCTCTTTGGTGTGTCTCATTGCTGTGACTGGCTTTTCTCCATCCTTTTGTTCGAAGATATGGGTATTCAAGCCAAGCATGATGGCATAAAGAAGGCGGTAGATCTCCTGCACCGCTGATATCATGGATTCGGGCTTTGGCACTGGAGCTGCTGGGTCGATGTTGTCTCGTGACTCGTGCAGAACAGTGATGAAGTAATTCATCCAGTCCCTCGCAATTGTGTCGTTGTGCCACGAAGGGCTGTCTTTGTTCCACCAGCGATTGTAAACGTCAAACACGGTCCGGATATGTACCTGAGAGTTGGGATACTCCAGGGTGTCCGTAAGGTTTCTCAACTTCTTATATGAGAGAACATAACCTGACTTGTCCACGGTGACGTTGAACTTGGCTGTTTCAAACACTGGATAGCATATGACAACAGTAGCATTGACCGTGCCGTTCACATTCTCTGCAGAAGCAGTGCGTCCCCATCCAATAGTCAGGGGGCGATCACAGGGACCGTTGCTAAAGGCAGCAGTTCGGGCATCCGCATATTCAACGGAGGAGACACCAGTTGAGCGGTTGAATGTGGTCTGCCTCATTTGCGCACCTGCATTCTCAATGAGACTTTCGTGGGTGCAGAATCTCCCATCGCTGGACTTGACGAACTGGGGCTCTTCCTTGTACACTGGCAGCTTGAAAGGGCTGATGGGAGTGCAGTTGGCTCGAACTCCGAACCCCTGGGCTTCAACGGTGTATGTGTCGGCCGGGTCTCTTGATTCAAGCCCGTCAAGATCAAAACTTTGGAAGAAGTAATCCGGTGACACCCACGCGGGGAGCTTCGTCCCTGAAGAGAAGTTCGCCAGGGCAACATACATGTGATCCTGGTACTGGGACGTTGTGACGAGATTTCGGCTCAAGTACTCGTCAAACGTGAATACTGAGTTGTTGTCAAATCTGGGCGCGAATGTCGGATGAAGAGTTTCTGGGTAGCTCGCAATCATAGGCTTCTCGTTGAAGAGAGAACCAAGGCCAACGGCGAGGAGGTTTGCAAGAAGAGCCATGGCGCAAACAAGAGCAAGAACGAGGTGGTTCGATTTGATCGCCCTGAATATCACAAGCTGAGGTGGGATTGAAGTGTATGTGGCGTCGATCGATCGTGTGGCTCTGGCTTTGCCCTCCCAGAGATCCTTGAAAGGCTGGAGGACGCAGAGCAAGCGGTTCAAGAGAACCCAGAGAGGCTCGATCAGCGTTGCGAATATGGTCGGAATGTAGTTCTCCAGTATTTGCAAAACCTCGAAGCTTTGCGAAGGACGGTGCAGGCCTACTTCAGTGTAAGTTGTGTGTCAAGGAACAGATGGGAGGACGCAACTAACCGTTCAGCCGGGTCTCCTGTTGCTTCAGATAGGAGAGAAAAATGATGCCACCAAGAAGTACTAATACAAAGCTGACACCAACAGTCCTTTTAAGAGCTAATGGTCGAACAGGGTCATAATAGCCCTTCTGTGGGGAAGATTTGGGTTCGCTTGGTGGTTCAGACTTGGAAGAAGCCTTCTCGATGATGATGTGTGGGCGCTGGGAAAACTTGTCGTAGCAGAGCTGAACCTCATCTTTGTTGAACTTTTCGTGCAGGGCCTCTTCCGTTGCGTTGTCCATTGACTGAAATGATTTTAGTAGTTCCGGACTGTCTCGAAACAGCTCCATGTGCCTTGCGATCGACGAAGGATTTGTTGTCAAGTTGCTTGGGGTTGTGCGACACAAACGCAGGATCATAATAGTGAAGATCGCAACGAGCATCAAGATGCTTTCCAGAGCCGTGGCGAATGCCCTGCTTACTATAACTCCGCTAAGATAGAACTCTGTTGAGGAGGTGCTATTGCTGATTATTGTCTGGTTGGTGAGCAACCTGGGCGTCGCAACGGAGAAAAGATATTGGTGAGCCTCGCGGTAGACTTTCTCAAGCAACGTGTGTTCAACGTATGCGTCAGAAGATAGGTTTCTTCCAGCCAAGGCGAAGCCAACCATGTTGGAAACAGGCTGGGTGAAGCCGGTGTAGTTCAGTCGTGGGTGTTGCTCGACGACACTGTTGAAGGGCCAATCTCGGACGATAGGTTTGTACGCCATGCCATTAGCCAGAACATACTCAAACGCCGTAGAGTTGAATTCCTGCTCTGTAAGAGGTTCTTTCGGAGATATCGCCTGGATAGAGTTGGTGATGGGTTCGTAAGTGCCTGCCTTCACACTGGCAAGGACTTGCTGCTTGTAGTATCTCGGCTGGCAGAACATGGCACTAATGTTGAAACTCGGCGAGGGATCCCAATCTACAGGGACGGCTTTCGCCCAAACGGCAAGAAACTGGTGGGTTGAGTTTTCTGTTTTGGGGCAACGCGTTCCGGCCAACCAAAAGTCCGAGTAGGGGCTGGAACGGTAGCCAATGTAAAACATTCGCCTTTTGGCCATGACGCCAAAGAAAACGGTTGCGTTACAGCCCTGGCCGTTGAGGAAGTTGAACGATGCCTTCGATCGAGGGCCATCTCTCTCGATCTCCGCCGGCCAGCAGCTCAACTCAGTCCACATCTTTGTCGTAACGGCCGTCAAATTTGCCTCCACCTTGGCAGAGACAGTGCTATTCTCAGGATAGAAAGGGAGGAGCGCATATGTCGAAGTCGTGAATGGGGGGGAAGGTTGGTCCAGCCATCCAACAGCGTATCCGGTGTTGAGAAATTCAGGATCCAAAAGCGCCTCATGCTGAGACATCGGAAGAAGTTGAGACCTTGTTCCTATCGTCGTCGCCTCTGTCTGCTTGACAACTCCTGTGCCGAGAAGGGCACTTTGCAGGGGGGTAAGTGCCCAGAACACAATTACCATGGCTGTTCCGCCGAAGAAAACAGGCCAGTGCTTGCTTCTGGCGGCTTTGAAGGGAACCAAGGCCACAAAATCATACTGATAATCCAGAAACAGCGACTTCTCTGCCGTGGCCCCCTTCGGTTTCGACAACTCAAACCATGGTTGCATCCGCTTGACATCCAAATCGATCCAACTCCATATCATACTGTACAAAACAGCAATGATAGTCGGCACATACAAGTAACTAAACTTGGCATATCCCGGCAAATCATCCAACGTCGGCGACAGAGCCAGTCCCCCCTGTGCAGCACTCCGTTGTGCAATCGTCTCGACGGCGGCGGCGAGGAGTAGCGTCAAAGCAATGACGGCAAGGAGTATAGGCGTAGACAGCGATAGCGGCTTCCATCCTTTCGTCGAGTTCGAGTCTTGTTCAGAAGTGATGGCTTCGATCTTTGTGGTAACGGTCGACTTGTGTTGGAGAGGTAGCGGCGGTAGACACTTATCCTTATCCAGGGAATTAGGGTCGGAAGTGACAGCGACGTGGCTCTGCAGCTTCAGAGCTGCAGCCTCCCAGCTAGCCATTGTAAATTAGAGTTGTTACAAAGGAAAGGGGGGATACAAAGGAAACGAGTGGCCAGCCACCCAGGAGAGAGAGAGACGGGAAGACGAAGGAAGTGTCAGACTACAATCGCGGGGGGACGAGACAGGACGTGTTAATACCATGGTCATGGCAGCCACTCAGTGGAGAATTCAGCCGTCTCGATCAAACAGGATCATCAATGCAAGCAAGCGGTAGACCGTCGAGTGAGATTCCGTCCAGCCTGCATCGCTAGTCTCGACTCCATCATGACGATTGACTGGCTCTAATGCTCGGCAGCTTCCGATACGACGCAAACTCCTTTTCCTAAGCGCTTTCTTAGCCAATTCCATTTGCTCTCCTATGTTGAGCTGCTTAGAGGCTCAGTCTTAGTCAAGGCCTCATCCCAGTACACAAAACATGCCGGGACAACAAATCGTGCATAGCCGAGTTCCAGAAGCATGGTACGGCCCCGCATGAGACCAAGGTCATCGGAACAAATCTACCGGTTCCGAGTAATTGGGTAACCCTGGGGGCCAACAAACAACAATAACGAAAAAACAAGGGTTGTCGTTGTTCATCTTGTTGTCTTGTTCAAGAGAGTTGGCGGCGGCTAATTCGACGTTGCGGTTGGACGGGCGCTAGCCGCCGACGCTTTTCCAATCTTGGACTCGTGTGGTGGACTAGTGTAGAGATCTGCAAGGGGTAGATGTTGCATGGCGACGTTTGATTGGTTGACATGTGGAAGCTGTTGGTGATTGTCGAAGTTGAAGTTGAGATGGCTTGGCCAAGGTGAAGACTGCGGTGTCCTTTTCGAGAAGAGGTGAATAGTGGAACGAAAGGTCTTGATTTTATAAATAAGTTTCTTACACCGCTGTTGTCTTGTTCCCTCTTCCCCGCTATTCCACGTTGGTCGGGCATTGGAAGTTGGTGTCGTGGCAGTTGAGCCATATGGTCCTACCTACATCAAGTTGAAAAGCTGTGTAACACGCCACGAACCTGGGATGGATTTCAGTTTGACCAAAACCAAACCTGAGAATCAGAGATACCATTCTGATAAGGCCCTATATGTTTGTTCTACACAAACCAGCGAGATCATCATAGACGTCAAGTGTGACACCAACTACCCTAAACTGGCGATTCGATCAACTCAACGATATCATGTCCTCCCGTCACCAAACAGGAAACCTCGAGCCTTGACCAAGTTCCAGATTATTGATTCATCCCTCTGTTTACCCACCCCTACCTTGTCTCGGAGTTGCACGAACCTCCCAGGGGTCGTGCATCCATGCCTGTCACTGTCATGAGCCAACACCAACCTCACCTCACCTTGTGTAACATGAAGCATCTTGAGAAACACCAACTGAATTGAAACGTGATTCTTATTCATACAATGATTAACGTCAATCCTATCTCTACAACAGGATCATCAATTCAGCACAATAGCCCTGGCTGTTCCAGACCACCACCCGCCCATGCCATCCTGCTTGCGAGACTAAATAAAGGGCTTTCATGATATAGTAGAAAGCCTGTATGTTGTTCCATGCGCCGCCGTGCCCGAGACGGAGCCACAGCTGGCGCGATAGAGAAAAAAAATAGGTACCTCTCAAAGAGGTCAACAACGAATTCTTGCGTGTTTCGCACGACGCCCTTAACGCCAAATTTGTGTGTACCATGTCAAGAGTCGCCTCTCCGTGGAGCCGTCGCAATAGTAGAAAAATAAAAAAAGAGTCTCATGCAATCGTCGTCCCTGTATGCCAGTCCGGTGCTTTTCTCTCTGTTGCAAAAATGTGCTGCCCGATGCTCGGTGCTCAGATCTCGATCGTCTTCATCGAATCCTCTGCTACTTCGGGCTTCTTGCCGTTCACCTTGGGCGATGTCGTCTCTTCCTCAATCTTGAGGAGGTCCGATTCTACCCGAGGCAGATTGGTACTGACTTTGGGGGCCTTGCCTTCGTCGCTTGGCCTTGGCGTCTCGACCTCGACGAGCTTCTCGGGCTGGATGTGTGCGCTGGCGAGCTCGGCGGGAATTGCTGACTCCTCCGTGACCCTACTCAAGGGAGTTGCCTTTCCATAACCAGGTCGCATCGGACTTGCCAGGGGAGACGATCCGCTGAGGCGCTGCATAGACCTGCCACGACCCTCACCATTCTCTCCACCGCTGGCGTAAGGCGAAGAGGAGCGGGAGCCAAGCGGGGAGTTTGGCTTGGGTCCCATTGACCTTCGCTTCGACGGAGCCCGTCGTCCATACTTCTGGTCCATCCTCCACCGCAGAATGCTGAAATACGAGGGCTCAACTCGTGCCTCCTTAAACTCTCGCAGCTTGAGCTCGTTTGTGTCCTCGTCCACATACCACTTGCCGCTGTTGAGATCATCTGCAACAACAGCCAGGAAGGCGGCCCATGAGCGGGCTACCACGTACTTGGTGTCGTAATCGCGGCCAAAGAGGATAATCTGACCCCACTGACCACCAGGACCGGGCGCGACGTCGACAGCCAGGTTGTTGCCGCCCCAGTCACGGACCAGGGGAATCCAGCCGGCATGGGCATATGCCTTCTGAACGCTGTTGGGGGGGACCGAGTCCTGGCGAGAGATAAGGTCCTGTCGCCACACGCCAGGGTTGTTGCCAGCGGCAGCGCCTTGCCTCGAAGATGACGCCTCGTTGCTTCCACCAAAAGCCTTTGACGGAGTGGCGGGTTTAGCGACTGACGTCTCGAGCAAGTATTGGTGGTTAACAGTCCTCCAGTTATCCCACTCCTGCACAATTTCCTCGCAATCAAGCAGCATGTGACTAAAGATGATTCCTGTTGGGTTTCCTCCTCGTTCCTGGCCATCGTGAATCATGAGAGATTCTCGGACGTCCTGGGGGAGTGAGCAGTCGAGCTGGTGCTCTAAATCATTCAAATCGTTATTGGTGGCGCCTTCACATAACTGATCGTAAAGTTCGGGGTAGTTCTCATCAGCCCAAGCATCTATCCGCCTCCAGGAGTGAGCGACTGGGGGAGCGGGAGGGAGACCGTCGGAAAAGTTCTGCATCTGAACATCGCCTGGGCTCTGGACCTCGAAGCCGTCGCCTTGGCTGGCATTGCGCGCGCCGAGAGAGCGCAGGCCAGGGGAATAAGGGGTATTCGAGGGCGAACGGGCACCAGGCGGCAAGGGCGATGCTCGACCAGTATCGTCGGAGTAGGGTGATGTGATGTCGGCTCGGGAATCGGAGGCGGTGGCCACGCCAGTCATGATGCCATTCCCCCCGTTCTGGAGGGGGACATGGCGACCGGTTCGGTAGGGGGAATCGAATGTGGAATCTAGAGTCGTTTAGTGTGCGGGCCTCGCGGGAATGAGATGCATAATTAGGGGCGCGCGTACGTCTGTCATAGCTGGTCATGGTATGCCAGAAAGAGCGAATGGTGGCACCGATGCTGTTTGATTAAATGGTTAACAACCGTTGACCCAGGCGACTGCGAATTGAAGGCATCCGAAGGGTCCAAGACTCACGAGTTGGCCATGATGGCGGCAGCAGGGGGCTCCAGGCCAGAAAGAGAGGCGGGAAAGGGTGGACAAGAGCCCTTTGCTGGGGAAGAACCGCGGTCGCGAAGGGTTAGAATAGGGGAAAAGTGGTTATGGCCGCGGTGGCCGCCGTCGCGATCACGGGGCGGGAGGGAGAAGGGTTCGGCAACGGAGTAGGCGATGCAGAAGCAGTCGGCGACGGAGTTTGGCGAAAAAGGTGATGTAGGTTTTTAGAGGATTTGACGCCGAAAAGTCCAAAAAGTCCGAAATCCAGGGGAACGAGCGAATGGAGCTCTAGAGAGGGAGAAAGGTGGCTGTTCCGCCCGGACGCGTGGGGTCGGTCTACTGCGGCGCCTCTCGGACGATGGAGGACGATCCAGTTGCTTTTTTGCTGCTGCAGAGAGGGAAAAATGGTGAGGCGCAAATATGATGGAGATGATGAAGAAGAGAGAAAAGGAAAAAGAAGCTAGAGTTGCAAGAGAAGAGACGAGGCGAGACCCTGGGAATGGCGGGAGGTCGGTTGGTCGGGACGCGGGTATGTGGGATGGGATGTGTGTGGATAGATGTAGGTGACTGGAGGTGAGAAGAGGTGGGCTGGGCCTCCTGAGGGATGGAGCTCTGGCTTTGTTGTTTACTGCTCTGTCCAAGGTAACGACGGAATGTCTCACTCGCTAACTGGGCTAACACTGGGGAAGTCAGTTTCTAGCAGTGCCAGCGCAGTGCTAGGGGGTCACAGGCGGTATACGACGTGCTGGAAGCCCCTGAATGAACAAGAGATTGGCCGTGCTCCAATAGAAAAGAGTAAAAGGAAAGGAAAAGAGAGCGAAGAGAACGAAAGCAGATGGGACGGTCAAGGACAGTGAGTGGCTGCTTGGGCAGATTGTCAAAGTGGAGATGGGAGGAGACCTGGCAGGTGCAGCAAGAGAAAGGGGATGCCATGCCCCCCCCGGGCGGGAGAGGCTCCGAAATAGAAAGGATGGAACTAAAAAAGAAGACTTGATTAGGCGGCATTGATAAATGAGGAGTCGAGGACCCCTGGCTAGCCTTTTCTGATTTGGCTTTTTTGGCATGATTTGATACGGGTCTAGGCGATCTGGATGGACATCTTGATGCTGTTGCTCTCTAGGTATAATAACAATACGATATACCGAATCTATCAAGAAAGCTTTTTCCAACGCCCAACCTTTTTTTTACTCTTCCCCGCGAAACAACCAAACTCTAAGCTACTTTTCCTGGCGCCCGTTACAAAACCTCAAGATCCCCTGGGCCGGCTTCTGGCGCTGGGTCTTATTCTTAGCCTCCCCCCTTCCTCAAACCCTCCCTGAACCCGGGTTTGAGACGGCCAGCGCGGGAGGCGGGCTTGCATCTAAGCACACGGACGGGGCATGCAAGGTACACACGCCAGCGGAGGGAACAGGGTCGTAATGGAACGAAAGACAAGTTCTTCTTGCTTGAAAGGTTCCACATGAACCGCAAGCCTCAGGGGTTGGAATTCTTTTGCTTCAATAAAGCCCTTTGTTACGGTTGCCGAGTCGAATGAAAAAAAATATAGAGGCGTAAATAAAAGTGTATGGATGTCCACAGCCACTGTAAAAAACGCCCGTGGCTTTTTAGGGGTCTCTCACACACCCTCCAATTCTGCGACAAACTATCCATGGACGGACATGACAATGCCAGCTGAACTGTGGGTGGAGCATGATGGATCAATCTCTTTTTGAACCAAACATGCTACATAAGAGATTCATCACTCTTTAAACAAGAGCCTTTTTTTAATGAAATGGACATCTCGGATCTGTTTGAGATGGCTGTAGACCGCCAAGTCCTCCCCACTCCCTATCCTATTTCTGGTCCCCTTCTAATACCCCCCCTATCACCCTCCCCATCTTTCAACTCCAATGTCTTTTCCCCTGGGATCCACGAAAAAGCTTGGTTCTGCTGGAAACATCCATCTCGATTGCTCTGACTGGTTTGTGTCAAAAAAACTCACTCTCCTCCGCTGACACATCTCCCTCACCGATTCGTCGTCTACAACCCCTGTTCCCTGATGCTCTCTCTCTCTCTCTGCACGGATATAATTAATGACAGCGAGCAAACCAACCCCCTATTCCCCTCGACTGTAGTCGTCATTGGCATTTGTTAGCAAAGACGACGTGTTGCCCTTGCCACATCCCGTTACCACTTGCTGGCACATCTTGACTCCGTCACGGCAACCCGTTTCCTTACACACATGATGTATACAACACCATCTGCACACTATCTTAGCTCCATCGATCTGATCTCGCAAAAAAGCAGCCTCTTCAAAGCTGACGTGAGGCTCCCTCCCCCGCATTCGAGGCTTGCTTTCGTACCTTTCTGCTTGTCTGTAGGCGCCCAGTTGTGCATAACAAGCGTCGTGTGGCTGCCCTCTCTTTCTTTGGCTTCCATGTTTCGTCTGGACTGTTTCACAAAAGGCCGCACCCACGAGCTGCTGCTGCATGATTGATTGATTTTCTTGTTTGTGTCTGCCATTCGTCGTCATTCAATGGAACGTGCATCCATGTCGCGTGGCCGGCACGCATGGTTACAGCCATTTTGACAACGCATAAGTGCGTCCTTGTCCTTGTGCCTGCACTGTAACACGCTTGCTTGAATGATTGCTTGAAATGTACCTTGAAAATGCCTCCTGTAGTCACAGCTCATATCGGCATTTGTTCCTGATCAACCTTGAACTGAATGTATTGCACACGCTGCTTTACATCTACCGCCACTTACATCACCCATCAAAATCGCCCAAGCCGTCAACTCCATCACCAACTTCTCGTCACTCTATATAACTATGTCTGCCACATGTGTTCGCTCAACCCTAGCAGCTTATCCGTCATCTGCCTCTGAGCCGCCGACGCGATACCTCGCTCTGGATTCGCCATCGCTTCACTGTAGCAGAGCTCAACGAGCGCCTTGAGCTCGTCGTACGAAAAGTTGTCCGGGTCCTGCGCGCTGTTGCCTCGCTGCTGCTCCTTGTCCTCCTTTGCCTTTTCCACAATCGCGTCCGCCCCCTGCTCGTACAGCGAAAAGTAGTTTGCTGCCCGTGCCAGGTCCACGCCCTCTTCCACGTTCTTGAGGTTCTGCTGCAGCACCAGGATGTTGAGTTGCATCCTTCCGCAGCCCTTGGCGTTCATCGGCGATGCCTTGCAGGCGTTGCTCACTAGGTAGCAGTTGATCAAAAGACCAAGGCCTGTCCTGATAAAGGCAATCTCCTTGTCTCGAAGGTATTTGACCACCGTCTCATCAAAGAGCACCAGCTCCGAGTTGAGGTTCAAGATTTGCGGATCTGGTTCGCTCACTTCCTGATCCAGGAGATACGGTGCCACCTGGGGTGACAGGGCGATGCGCAACGAGTGCACTATGCGGCACCGAATCTCCATGTGAAGAGTGAGCAGTGCTGTCCCTGCCAGCTCCTCAAAGGACGAGACGATGCTGTCAAACGCTCTAAACTTTGATTAGTATTCATGTTTGACAACGTCCATGGTTGCTCAACTTACTGCACAGTCTCCTGCGTCAGCGGCAGTGACACGGGACCATCTTCGGCAGTGGCCTTGTTCGGGTCATTCATTAGAGTCCATCGGCGGCTCGAGTGTCGAGGAAGGTTTTGCTGCCGTGACGTGTCCGTCTCGTGCATCGTGATTTGCCGCAAGCCTGCAATCTTGACTGCGAGCCATTTCATGCTGGTGTACAAGAGACAGAATGACGAGATTGAATCTCGGTCCTGAATGATATCTCCTGACTCTAGAGGCGCCTCATCTGTGAGCTCCATCAACTGATGAATCTCCTTTTCTGCCAACTCCCAGTCCATCTCATCTGCCGTCCACAGCCTCTTCATCGTCTCCTGAATATCACCGGGGTCTAGCGAGAACCGCGCAGACGCCCTCAGGTTATCATTGTCAAGCTCTCCAGACTGCTCCTGAGCCTTAACCACAAGTGACTTGTACCAGCTGAAGCAGCGGTCGTAGTATCGCATCATTTGGGTCACAATCAGTGAGCTGAGCGCTTGGTCGGGTGGAATAGTGCCCAGCATGCGACAGAATGCAGTCACAACCTCAAAGAAGGCCGTCGTTCCCCGGAACACAGGCCGGCGTGCCACCTGGCTCCAGGCCGGGTCTTGCGAGAAGGCGTCCACCTCTCCAAACACGGTATCGCTTAATTTGGTCAGGGTCTCGTCCAACTGTGGCTGAAAGACGTTGACCAAAAAGTTATCCAAGAATGTTGTAAGCGTGCTCGCTGCGAGATCTGACCCAGGAGGCACAATGTTCTTGAGCCTCTGCAAGAACACCAACGTGGGCGGTAGTAGTAGACTCATGTTGAAGACACTAGGTTCCACCAGAGACTTGTACGAGCCCGTCGTTTGGTGGCTGGCTCCGTAACTGGCGTCGCCTCCCTTTCTGCCTCCCTCGTACGCGTTTCGGTGCTTCTTGTCCTTTCGTGAGCCCAGGCCAGGAACAGCGTCTTGGATGATGCTGTCTAGAGCGTCGTACTCGGTCGTCATTACAATAGACTTTGTGTTGGCCTCTGAGAACTTGAACAGATGTTCACGAATATCCTTCTTGCCGTTGAGTGCATTTCCTGGGTTTGGCGAGTCGAACTGATAGACATCTGCGTCCGTTGTGACATAGTTGTGCAGCAGAGACCTGATTTCGTTCTGGTAAAGATTCCACAGCTCCTTGAAGCTGCCGAGAAGAGCACTGTTGTTACCAGCACCCTCTCGTCGAATAAGGACCTTGATAGACTCGTGAAAGACACGATGACCTTCTCCGATTGCCTCAAACTTGCCGTATAGGGACCAGAGAAGATCATAAATGACGTCTGCTCGCATCTGTGTCTCGCGGGTACCATAGACGTGCATTCCATCACCCTTGGTTGATCCTCCTCGCAGAGAACTTGGGTGTCGCTGATCCACCTCGTTGATAGTCTCGTTGACGATTCCAAACAGCTCAACCGGTAGCCGCTGCTTAAGGGTTTCCACGGCGTTTTGTAATCGGCCAAGCTTGTTCAAAGATTCCACCAGTAGACCGACATAGTAAAAAGTGTCAGCCTCGGGATTCTTCATAGGGTCTTCTGTCAATGTCTTGTCGACATCGATAGAATCGAGGATAACATGGAAAGGCGTGATGGGCTTCGAATCCACGTAACCCTCAGTAAAGGCGCCCTGTGATTTGGCCAGGTTCTGCCATCTCTCCTGGCAGTATGGAGACTTGAGATAGAGGTGCTCATGAAGTTCCTCCACAAGAATATCCATCAGAGCTGTCTCTTGGTTGGCCAAATAGCTTCGCAGGTCGCTAAGAGCACCAATATCGTCCAGCTCAGGTTTCCTCAGTTTTCGAAGCGCATTCTGGAGCACTTCTACTGCCGTCAAGAACCGCTTCTCAGATATTCTAGCCTCCAGCTGATCCGGTACCGCTCGTAAGTCATCCAGTTCGTTGAGAGTCTGCACAAGGGTGTCAAACTCTTGCGAAGTCTTGGACAACTTCTTCAGCTCTGGATCTGTGGCGCAGAGGCTCGTCTTGGAGTTGGCCAGCGACTCCTTGAGCGCGCGGACCCGCTTCTGGGACTGCTGGATGCTGCTCTGGATCTTGTGAAAGGTACCGATCGAACTGTTGAAGCCCTGGTGATGCTCATGGACGATGCCCTTTAGGGACTCTTGCAGGTAGTTGTGTGACTGCTGGAACTGGCTGTACTCGTGCGCGCGGCCAACCGAGCTGCTGTCAAGGAGCTGCAACGCCAGCTGGACTGGGACGCAGTCGTCCTGACACATCGAAGGCCATTCCCTCTTAATGTGGTCCAAGACCTCGGTGATCTGTCGCTCGGCGTTCGTCTCTGGCGGCACACGCGATCGGGATGGCATTTGTCGAAGCGTCGGGGGCGCTCGCGGCTGCTGGAGACCGGGCGGCGGCGTGCCATATCGGTCGCTTCCGTAGCCATCTTGGTAGCCGGATCTGTAGTCGTCTCCCGAGCGGCCAAAGTTGCCGTAGCCGTTGCCCTCGCGGTACGACCGGTCGTATCGGTTCGACATGATGGTATTGGGGTTGGGGCCAGGTGGGCTAGATGGCGGGATGTCACGATAGATGAGCGGCCTCGAGGCGCATCGTCGCCGTTAAGAAGAGAAGGAGCAGCTTCGTATTTCGCTGCGTATATCCGAGAGACGCTCGTAGGAGTATGAATTAGAGATAGGCTTAGGTCAAGGTTGAGGCGCTGCTAAGCTCGAAGTCGAGGGGTCGGAGCTGATGAGGCCGTTGCGACAAAGTACGTACCGAAGCTCCAGTTGGCGCGTCCCGTCAGCGCTTCATGTGCTGGCACAGACCACGGCAACCAGCCACGATCCTTCAACTTCAACTTGAATTCTTCAAATAAGAAGAGACTGAAAGTATATTTTATGTTGGTGCTCTTTGGCTATTATAAACACTTCATAATGAATGAATGCCAAAATCAAGGAAAACACGTGGTATCAAATTACTTTGCCCTCCATCCCCGTCCTAAACCATCCATATCCTATCCCTATCCCATTTCCTAAACATATAGTTATCCTTACTGAGAGCTTCCTCCGTGCGCCGGAACTGGTGGAGGAACAAGGTGGTGGTTCTCATCCTCAATCGGTTTCTTTGTTGCAGGCTTGGGAGATGCTCCAGCTGGGGTGGCGTTGGGGTCCTGTACTGTCGTCCCGGAGAGATCTGCTTGAGCTGTCCGATCCCCATTGACTTCAAGCTGGTTTTGAAGTGTAGCTCCCGGTTGCTCTGAAGCTTGCATCCTTTTATCTTTGGCCAGTATCGCCTTCGCCAGGCCTCTGACTCCATCCACAATCACCTCTGGTCGGTCCCAAGACAAGAATCCAACAGAGCCAGAGGCCCGGTTCATGTGTACGACCTGATACTCTGGGTTTGCCCAGCCGGGGCAGGCGTATGCCGTCCTTGTGGGTCGTGGAAGTGTCCTTTGCTGCTCATTCTGGTCCTCATCACCGGTGAACACTGTGATCGCAACCTTTGGCTTTAGCGTCGGCTTCTTTGTCTCCACGGGCTCGAAATCGGATGCGCTTTGAGCCCAGAATCGCAAAGCAGCTTCAGGACCAGGGAGCCAGATAAGCTGGGTGAGCGTGATGATGTCCTTGTGTGTGAGCTCCGTCTTCGGGCCCATTGTGCGGAGGACCTTGAGCACATAGAGTAGGAGACCAGTAGGCGAGTCGCATAGAGCATATGCCGGCGTGTTGGGTTCAAAGTTGCTGTAGCCTGCTAGACCAGGATTGCTGACAGACTTTTCCTTTCCCACTTGCGACGCCTTCTGCTTCACCGTTGCCGTGATGTCGTCCTTGGAGTAACCAAGAACACCAGAGGTCAAGGCACGGGCGACCGTCCACTTGAACCATTCACTAGCTGAGTCCTTGAGCTTGGGAGCGTTCAGCGGGGGCGCGATGAAGTGAAAGCCCAAGCACGACTTTGAGTAGTGATGCGAGAAGTGCTTTGCTAGTCTCCAGTCGATCCCAGCGGGAGAAGCCGAGGCGGAACCAGCGTTGCTAGCGATGTAGAGAGGATAGTTCAGTCTCTTCATCAGAGCATCCAGCATCTGCACTGTCGAAGAAATCGGAGGAGCGTTGCCAGGGAGAGGGTCGCTGAATCCCAGACCGGGCAAAGCTGGAATCACCAGGTGAAAGGGTTGCGTCGACCCAGCATCTTCAGGGTCGCCCAGTGGTCGGACGAGATGTCCAAGAGATATGTTGGTTAGAGGAAAAGGGGGTATCAAGAGAAGAGGAACCGCATTCGCGTGAGGCGAGCGGGCATGAATGAAATGAATCCGGACAGGCGACGGCGGAGTAGATGTCTGGAAGCTGGTTCTGAACTGAGGGAGCGTCGCGTTAAGCTCCTCTTCGTGATCCGGCCACGAATATTGTTCCTGCCTGTCATCATGTAAGATTTTTATAGACTCACAATCGCGAGAGCTCAACTCACCAGTAATCGACCAATGTTTCAACCTGGGGTTTCGGCTCCCACCAGTCCTTTGAGCGGGGTTCATGAGGCAGCCGAGTAAGCTCGAGCTTCTGACGGGTGATGTCGAGATACTTGCTCGAGACCTATTTCACTCATTAGCTGGCGTGTTGCTCAGTCGTGAAGCTTGCTCGAAACTCACCCGAATGCGATAAGACTGGACCTCCTCACCGGAGCCCCCGGCGGGATCGTCATGAGCTTGGTCTGCCATGCTCCGTCTTACACGCGATCGACCAAAAAAACTCCACTCGGGGCTACAAGATGTCAAAGTTTTAGACAGCGTCTTACCGAAAGAGACCCTCAGAGCGAATTCGATGAAAGTCACGGTAGAATAACGGCACGAAGCGAAGGAAAAAAGATGGAAATTTGGAAAATGCGAGTCAGAAGCTGGCCTCGAATCCCAGCAAAAAACAAAGTACCCTTACGCCCACCCTTGTCATGATATCTGCCAGGCATGGTATTAAGGGACCTGACGTGGCTGACAAGCTGTGGCTTTAGCGCCAGAGCACACGGCCAAAAAGGTCCGAGGCCGTGGGTGATTGGTCAGCGGCTCGCTCGACGCGTGGCGGTGCATGCGACCTCATCTTCGCTTCGGAAATGATTGCCTGGGGATCAATACGCGGCTTAATTCGCGACCGACCCCCCATGGCACCTCGATTCCGTCTTGGCCATCACGTTGTTTGCCTGCTGCTGCCAACTTTTGATCTAGAAAACAGGGAACTGAATTGGTGTGGAACGGTCCAGGCGGGGGTCCCCAGCTGTCGTTGGCTGTGGCTGGTCCCAGCCACCTCCGGCTTACACGCCACAGTAGCGTCGCGCATGAGTCGAGAACGTGAAACACCATGTATCAGTCTGCATATGGAACTGGCACTAGTCATCGAGTCCATGTGAATGGCATGAATAATGCGACCGGCCTAAAACGAGACAGAGTTGGTATTCTTTGCTATGCATGGTTGACTGTGCCCCAGCGCCGCCCTGCCTTCACCCAAACTCCCCAACTCGCAAACGCCTATATTCCACTTTCTAGATACATTCGCGGTCAATATTCGCGACAAAACAATTCAACAATCTAGCCGTACTCCGTTCCAGCCCTGCGTTGGCTCTTGTGGAGCCTTGCTTCCTCTTGTGGTCTGGATCGATGCGTGAGCATGGGTTATCCAAGTCCATGGAACAAGTCTGCAAGGCTTCCTAGCTTGCCGGGTAACCGCTGGGCCTCGAACGTAGGTAGTTGCTCTAGGATCAGCCATTCCTGTGAGGGGGTTGAGCACTTCCTGGGGGGCCACCTGGGGGGCCACGAAGGTTTATCTGTCCTATCCGTGACACAATGTTGCTACCCACTGCATCGACAGCGCCCCGTGGAGATGTCAACGTAGGGCCTTCTGGAGCGGTCTCCTGGACTCGGAAGAGTTTAATCGCAGTACCGTTCCAGATGCCCATGGTGCCCTTGGAAACCTGCATCTCGCTTGTAAAGATGACACCCCACAAGAGGGACTCATACCAGCCCAAAGCCAGTTGAGACCACTCAAACGAGTGGACACGAGGAGGTGAGGGCTCAATGCCGACAACTTCAATGCCTGAAAGTCGGCGCAGAGTTTCTGATGCTGGCACATCACTTGCCAAATCCTGACGAGGTAGAAGGGCAGACACTTGTTGAATCACAGCCAGTATGGTGTGCAGAGGAAGCTCAGGAAGCCAGCTGTCGATCCAGTGGGCTGTTGGTTCAAAAGCACCAGTCTGTGATTGGCCAGAGATTGAGTGTCCGCCCAAGCTGGTTGTGCTGTTTTGTCGTGAGAAACTCGGCACGCCGGCTGGCATTTTACCTCGAGCCTTTTCAGACATGCCTCGTAATTGAGTCGGGACTGCGTCCTCCACGTTGGGAATTGACGATGTCTGAGACTGGGTTTCACTCGACGTCGATCGCGTAGGGGTAGGTTGATGGTCTTCGTCATCACTATCATCCTCGTCATCTCCGATCGCGAATGCGCCATCCTCTGGAACTTCTTCCAGAGCTGGATGATGCGGCTGAACGCTGCTTGGGCTTCGCAGACTCTCAGCTGAACTCCGGACCGAACTGGCATCGAACGGGTCAACATGGTTGCCCGAGTCCTTTCTTCTTCTATTTCTCCTTTCAATCTCCTCCTGGCCGCTCTCCAATGTAAATGTGCGCAGGGCCTCCACTCGCTTCTTATTCTTCAGAATCGCAAACACCAACTCGGGATTCTTAGGGTACTTGCTCTCAAGAATTGAGCTGATCGACTCCAAGAGAGAATGAAGGAGGGTATGGTTCGTCTCATTGGCAAGCAAAAAGGACGGTGACGACATCGAGGTGAATAGCTGCATCAACTTTGAGCTGCTGATGGCACTAAGGCCTTCAAGATAAGGCGCAATATTATTGATCACCGCCAACAGAGCTGGGTAGATCGCTGAGAGTTTGCCTTGGCTTGTGGTGATCAGATTGTAGATAGAGTGAATGAGGAAATCGGCATAGGTGCCCCTGAACCCGGGGACACGGATGGACATGGGTAGACTCTCCTGTCCCTCAAAGTATTTGTTCAAGTTGATGCCAAAGTTGGTCTCGACGCTCAGTGTTTGAAGGAGGAATGCGCACATGCGCACAACTCCCTGCTTGGTCGCATCATTCTTATACTCCAAGGCATAAAATAAAGCCAGGATGACAAAGTCATGCGCTCGTTCCGTGTCCACGATGAACGAGCGGAACCTCTTGTTGCACTGGAGGATCTCCCAGAACAGCATCAAGATCTCGGGCGCAAAGTTGCCAGAGGACTGCGACCCTGGAAGATAGGATGTCTTTTCTTGCAGAGGTTGGTTAAGGATTCGGCCCATTCCGTCGACGATGAACTGGAAATCTTGGGGTCGATGTAGCCGGCCAAGGAAATGGCGAAAGAAGTTCTTGGGGGACGAGTTGGATGGAGTTTCCGGGATCGGGTACAGAAGAAGCACCAGGAGGAATTGCAGAGAATATGTTACAAGCATCTGCTTACTATCCTTGAAGACAAGAGTGTTGTAAGGGACGCGCCAACTTGCCGGGTTGTACTTCAAAGTCTACAATTCAGAGTTAGTAGGTTAACTTCAGTGTTGGTCTCAAGTAGGAACGAACCGTGTTGAGAAGAGAGCAAAGCATCGAGAGCACAACTTGCTTATCAGAGCATGTGCACAGATGAGTCAACGCTCGTACGCCGTTCTGTGGAAGAACACCAGCTGTCATGTACATGCTCTGGCCGGATAGTGCGAGCAGGAGACGCAGGATCTCGGATCGGTTGCTCTCATACTCCTTGGTCGTTGCGACCGCAGTGTTGCACCCGACGCCGCTTTGCCATATCGCATATGTGACCTTGGATCGGCCGTTTGGTTGTCGAGGTAGAGTCAGGTCAGAGAAGAACAACAGGTCTACCAATGTGTCTATCAACTCTTCGGCAAGCGGCTTCACCTCTTCAAACTCCTTTCCCTCGGCTTTCTGCTTGACCTCCTGCGCTTCGTCGAAGAGGATTTCGTTCGCGATAGCCGAATGACGCGTCCGTTTCCGTCTATGAGCCCAGAAGAATTGTTCTTCCCAACTACTGAGAGTGTCTTTCTCGTACAAGTATGGCAAGATTCGTGTGAGAACTCGGATGCAGTTCAGGGCTTCCCGCTCGGGGGCAAGCTCGGGGTCGGGAAAGGATGGGTGATGACGTAGTATGAATAGGCGAGAGGTGACGGCGAGGATGAGGGTCTCTAAGTTCTCAAGTGCGCGATCTCGCGTGCGGCGAATGTCGGCAGGAGTGAATAGACTGAAGACATCCTCAGACGACTCAGGGAGCTCCCAGAACTAACAGTCGATTAGCACCATCTTGATAGTTAGGGTGGAGTGCGGATAGAGGACGAACAGAGGTCCAGTAGGCATCATCGGCTGGGATATGCCGCTCTTCGGACAATCGAAAGATGCCCTGTTTGAAAACGAGCTTTGAATCACTCGCGCCCATGACTATAGCACGAGGTTCCACCTTTGGTGAGAGTGCGCTTCAGTTGGGGTTTCTTTGTGGTGTCCTCTTTCAAGTTGGAGGCCCCAGAATGACGAGGACCGGGTGGGCTGCAACAGTTCCCCAGGCTAGGTAGGGGAGCTGGCCAATCACGTGCCACGCATCGCCGCATCACCGGCATATTTCCGCTCTCTCTTATCGATAAGGTGCTGAAGAAGTTGAAGGTGGGAAATTTTGAGTCTCAATCATAGATTCAAGAGAATCACCATCCCGTAAGGCACTGTTCAACCTCGACAACGCAACGCCCCAATGCTTCGCGCCCGACGCGGATCTGGCCTTTCGGCCAATCTTGCATACATATGCCGTCCTCCTCTACGATGTTCGACCCAATGCTTCCCTCGACGCTCGTTTGCCACCGAGACCAACTCGGACAGTCCTCCAACGTCTCAACCCTCCTCTACCGGCAAATCTGAAGATATTCTGAATGGTCTCGATGCCTCATCGGAGAATCTCCAAACTCGAATTCGTGAAATGAAAAAGGATGCCGAAAAAATGAAGGAGAGGAAGGCTGCAAGGCTGCCAAAGAAGAAGGAAACCTTTAAGGACGGCAAGAAGGCCTCTGAGAAAGCCTCTAGGAAGACTTCTAAGAAAGAGGCCGATGCTGGCAGACCGGACGAGGCCGCAAAAAAGCCTGGAAACTTTGAGGAGGCTTTGGACGTGGTGCGGAAGGTCTATGGTGTTGGTAGTTCTGGTGGTTCTGGCGAGCCAAGCAACCCGTCGAGTGATCCGCCAAAGAGGAAGAGAAAGTCGAGGAGGGTGAGATTGGAGGGACCCAAGACTCCCGATGAAGTTTCCATCCCAGATGGGGTTTCCATCCCAGATGAAGTTCCCAGACCAGACCAAGTTACAGCCAAGGATGACAACGCGGATTGGACATCCAAGATTGCTCAACAAGCAGGCTTATGGACATCACTCCGAGAAAAGCTTCAACATCAGAGTAACCCACGGTTCGATCAGGTGAAATATGGTCAAGGTCAGATGTACCAATACGCCCAACACGATTTGTCGCTTGGCCCGGACGCAACACCCTTAATGTCGAGCGATCCTCCCCCTGTTCCATCACGGACCCGGAAACCCCCCTTGCGTCAACAAGAGCCAAGAGAACCCTCCAGGACCCCCTTTGCTTCAACAAGGGCCAAGAGAGCTCTCCAGGACGAAGATTCAGCTAGTATACCAACTGATACAACCGCCAAAAAAGGCAGAAAGTCCAGGGAACGCAAGGATATGGTGGACGTGCAAGTCATCAGCCCTCGAAAACTGAAGTTGGTGCCAGTCGAAGAGTTGGCACGAGACGTCCCGAAACTCGAGTACAACCTGGACAAGGTTCTTTTCAACCCTGGAGTCTACCAGCTTCAAGACAAGCGATCAAAGGTCTTCAACTTTGACCCCTACCTCGCCACAATCATGCCCGTGGAGCAGTTCGATTTCAACGCCCTGAAGGAGTACGTCACATCCTCCAAGGACACCAGACTCAGAGATTTGAGTGCCAAGTATGGCAAGAAGTACTGCGGTTCCACCTCCAGCTTGACGTCTATGCTCGCCCATTTCCACTTCCTTCTGTCAGCATGGAGAGCACCTAATTTCGAGCACCTGTCCCGCTCTTTCAATGTCGAGTTCCAGTCATACACCGCCCTGACCCGAGGACCTGCTGCTGCGTTCGCCCGCTATAAGGATGGGGTCTATGCCATTGATGCCGACAAGGAATTCGACAGGGCAAACATTTTGAGCATGCTTGGAAAGTCGATGGAAAAGCTTCTCACCATTCCAAAGAATGAGTTTGAAAAGTACAGAAGGACAAAGTCGCATGAGCTGTCTGAGGAGGAAAAGAACGCCGAAGAAGCATTCCACTACTCAACGCTTGGCGACTTTATGCTACGTTCGCAACTTGATGCGTATGACCCACGACTTCCCGGCACTGGAATGTTTGATCTGAAGACACGAGCAGTCGTATCTATTCGAATGGATGTCGAAGGCTACGAGAAGGGGATGGGGTATGAGATCCGCAACCGTTTCGGCGAATGGGAGTCATTCGAGCGCGAGTACTATGACATGATCAGGGCAGCCTTTCTCAAGTATTCGTTGCAAGTGCGCATGGGACGAATGGACGGCATCTTTGTGGCCTTCCACAACACACAGCGTATCTTTGGTTTCCAGTACATCAGCCTTGAGGAAATGGATCGAGCCCTCCATGGAACTTCAAACCGCAGCGTTGGCGATCAAGAATTCAAAGTCAGCTTGAAACTCCTGAACGAAGTTCTAGATAGAGCCTCAAAGCGGTTCCCCAAGCGCTCACTTCGACTACACATTGAAACCCGACAAACCAACCCCCCGCTGACCTACTTCTTTGCTGAGCCTGTCGACGAGGAGGCGATCGATCAGACCCAAGAATCAGGCCGATCAAAGGTAGAAGCTTTTGAGCGGGAGATTCTTGGCCTCTCACGCAAGGAGAAGGAGCAAGAATCGAGACAACTCAAGGAGGAGCTGTCCGCCCAAGTTCAAGAGGACCAGCTCGATAAGGAGGCCTTGCAAGAGTCTACTTCAGCCGAAGACCCTCAGCGACAGAAGGCTTGGGACGAAATGATGGCCAAGGTTGATGAAACCGTGGAAAACGATTTCCTAGGACTGCAGACAGTGAGAGATGCCATTGAGGAGGCTCTCGAGCAAAGCGGCCTTCTTGCCGGAAACTCCGAGCTTGAAAAGAACGCCTATCTCAACTCCCTCGTCGAGGCCCTGGCTGAGGAGCTCTCGGATGTCAAGGACTTGTGCAAGGAATCCGACGATACGCCCCAGAAGATGGATGAAGGCACTCAGCCTGCGGAGGAAAAGCCACAAACCGAGGAGTTGTCTCGAGAGAGTGTCTCTCGTGATGTGGTTTCCGAACAGCCCTCCTCTCAAACCGTAGTCGAAGAAACCCCTGAGGCTTTGGCCCAAGGCATGGAGGCTGTGACAGAGGAAGGATCCAAGGTCGTGGATATCACTGAGGAAGGCCCCAAGACTATTGATACCGAGGAGGCTTCCGAGACTGCAGTCATCACATCGGCCGAAGAGGGATCCTCCTTGACTGACTCTACATCTATCGAAGGTTCCAACGCTGTTAACACCATCTCGGGCACAGAGCACTCTATGGTTGTCGATACTGCATCCCCCGAAGAGGATTCCAAGGCTGCCGATGCCATGCCGACTGAGGAGGGTTCTACCGTTGAGTCTGCATCCATCGAGGGTGCCAACGCTGTTGATATCACATCATCCGAGATTATCAACGAGGCTGTTGGTGAACAGACGGAGTCAGCAGGCAATAGCAAGCTGTCAGATGCATCGCTCAAAGACCTCATCTTGAGGGTAGCTCGAAGTGTCGACCACAAGGCCAGCAGCATGGGAACGTTTGAGCGAGTGCTTTCGGAATTGGTCCAGGCCCAAAAGCGGGCGACCGCCGAAGCTAATGAAGTTGATGAAGCTGCTGAGGGTGAATCTGAGCCTACTCCTTTGGAAGAAGCGATGGCTACCGGAGCGAGCACAGAGTCGCCAGACGCCGCCTCAGTCGAGCAGGAAGCTCCAGAGGAGCGGGAGCTGCTCGGCATGTACATTACGGTTCGCAACAAGATGGATGATCAAGTCGTCGACCGCGTCGAGCTTCGCGAGGGCCGGGAAGACAAGCGCCGATGGATGGTGGAGTACTCTATCACAGAGCTACCTCAGGAAAGGGCCGCGAGGATCCTTGGACAGATCCGAGCTCGACGAAAGAAGACACTCCAGTTTGACCCCGAAGAGCGAAGCAGGACATGGTACCAGGCTTGGGAAGGAGGTCTGGCCAGGTCAACCCGAGCCGGGAAGTTGTATAGGAAGACTATGCAAAAGGAAGAAAGCAAGGACAAAGGCGTCAAGGTGGCGTGGGCCGAGACGACGATCCCGCACAAGACTTTCAACTCGTAAAAGAGACACCAGGTGGTGTATTGTAAGATGATGAACTGGACGGTGGACGAAAATTATGCATGGGAGGGACTTGTAAAAAACAAAAGAGGGAGCTGGTTTCTTGCTCCGTGTATTACTACATTCCAGTGCTGGTAGGAGACTGGTCGCAAACACTCCTCTTGGAAATCATGTAACATAGTCGGTCATAGAGTAGGTTATTGATGAATGAATGCGTTCTGAGACATGCAAGTCGACTCAAATGCTGCAGATAGTAACAGTATAAGGTGAAGCAGTTTGAATACGGTATCAACTCTCGCCTCTCCAATGATACCTGCAACATCATTAGCATCATCCATCATGACCAAGACCTAGTAACCTATGGTGACGTTATCCCCAATACCATGCCTAAAACGTTGGCTCCGATTGGGTCATGTGGGCTTCATGGCGGCCCGCCCTAAGCCTGTCTGGGGAACACTTACAAGACGACATAGTCACGCCTCAGACTGGGGGGAGCGACCCTGGTGATCATGATTACGGGGACATGTTCTTGTTGGGGTCATGCTCTATTTCTGTTCCTCGACTCTCTTCACTTGAGGGTGATGTGACTGTTGATTCAACCCTTGTCGAGTAAAGATGCGGTTATCTACAGCTATCTGGACATGCCTCGGCTTGTTTGGGGGACGAGGTCTCGGTATTGACGGATCGGCTAATTCACCTCGAGGCGTCACCGATGCTCAAAAGACGTTGAATGGTAACGGCTGGGCAGATCGGATATGGGAGCAGAGCAGAGGTGTTTCATCATGTTCAGGATGCCAGGTAAATCAGCCCAGATACCCCAGGAGAGACATGAGACTAACTAATGCAGGGGCTTCTGTTAACCTTCAAAGGGCTTGCTGCTCTTGGTGACCGCGCCTTTGTTGACACGGTCAAGGATATATGCAAGTTATCAAAGGTTGTGTCTTTGCTGTCGTCAATTGATCCGCCACTCACTGGTTATAGGTGGAGGATGCAGATGTATGTGATGGGACCATCGAGCTTGAAGGACCCATCATCGCCGAAGCCTTGAGAAATCTTGTCATCGGGTCAAAGACATCAGATCTGTTCTGCGTAACCTTCTTGGGACTCTGCAAATATCCAGAAATCGAGCCATGGGAAGTCCCTTTCCCGCCTAAGACGCTCCCTCGCACGCGTCCAGCTCCGAGCGGACAAGACCCCATTAAGGTCGTGCACTATTCTGATATTCATGTCGACCAAATGTATACTGAGGGGTCGAATTCAGAGTGTAGGAAGCCTATATGCTGCAGGTGAGTGCCATTATCTCAAGACTCGAAGGGGAGTTTCTAATTGGATAGACCTTATACTGAGGGAGATGAGCCTGGTAACACGGACTCGCCCGCTGGTCCTTATGGCGAACATACATGCGATTCTCCCGCTAGGCTCGAGCTTAGCATGTATAAGGCGATCAAAGAGTTGGTTCCCGATGCAGCCTTTAGCATCTTTACGGGGGATGTTGTCGACCACGCCATCTGGAATACGAGCATCCCTTATAATGAAGGCCAGAGTAGGTACTATGTGCCTAGAGCTTATCCAAGCTGACTTGTTACAGTTGTCGAGTCCTATGTAAACATGGATAGTCACTTAGGCATTGTCTATGGCACCGCTGGAAACCACGAAGCGCATCCTACAAACGCCTTTCAACCCAACTCAATTGGCAACTCATCACAGTGGATCTACGATCTACTCTCAGGCATCTGGTCACACTGGATCGGCCCCAAAGCTGCCGTCACAGCAGAGGAACTCGGGGCGTACTCGACTCGATACCCTCATGGCAACCTACGTGTCATTTCTCTCAACACCAACCTGTTCTACCGCGGAAACTTCTGGCTGTTCCAGAAGGATATGCTCCGTGACCCAAGTGGTCAGATCGAGTGGCTCGTGAGAGAGCTTGATGCCGCAGAGAAGGCAGGCGAACATGTTTACATCATTGGACACATGCCGCTCGGAGACAGGAATGCGTTCCACGACCAGTCGCATTATCTCAACGAGGTTGTGCATCGGTACTCGGGGACCATCGCGGCCATGTTCTATGGACACACGCACAGAGACCATTTCCAGATTACATACGCCGACTCTTCGAATAAGAGCTTTTCTAATGCTCTTGTAACCTCATACATAGGCCCCTCGCTTACGCCTATGTCCGGAATGCCCTCGTTCCGCGTTTACGATGTTGACCCAGTCACCTTTGCTGTCCTCGATGCGACAACTTACAGCGCCGACATGACATCCGACACTTATCAGACTCAGGGACCTGTGTGGAAGAAATACTACTCGGCTAAGGAAACATACGGACCTCTCACAAACCATCCCCTGACGAATCCTCATACAGAGCTCACCGCAGGGTTTTGGCATAACATAACCGAAAGGTTCGAAACAGACCAGAATGCTTTCGATGACTTTATGCTACGCATGAGCCGTGGGTGGAAACAGCCAGAATGTAACGAAGACTGCAGACAGACACAAATCTGTCAGCTTCGAGCAGCTCGGAGTGAGGATAACTGCGATGTTCCCACACTTGGTTTTTACTACCAGAAGAGAATGGAAGACAGCTCAGAGCGGGACGAGTGTGGCATCTCTGTCATGCAGGCTACGTTATCGGCTTTGGTGTCGAGGAAGGGCGTGCTGGAGATGTTGCAGGGTTTGCTACTTGGGAAGAATCTGGAATTGTTTGGGTGATGGATGTTATCATGAAAGGTAACGATACACGATATACACGATACATGTGCTTTGGGCATACTCATGGTAGACTGACCAAAGAAATGTTGTTCTCAAGACTCTCAAGTCCCATCGGAGACTTTATAGCCATCTTGATAGTATGAGGCGATACTGACGGTCCAACATTCGGCCGAGTGAGTCTTGAAGTGCGCAGGGACGCTTGGCAAAATTCAATTCGATAAGCTTATCTGGGGCTTTATAAATACCGTCACTATCCAAGTGGCAATATCATTAATCAGATGTGCTGCGTAGTATCAAGTTGTGAAGCCAGCCGGGGTATCCTTTGCCTCTGAGGCTGGTACGGGACCAAGGGATGTAAATGAGCCGTCAGGGTTTATCTGACCAACGAATTGATACACCAACCATTTCAGATCTGACATTTGTAAGGCAGGCCGGAGACTTTGTTCGGACACATACGAATCTCACCCAGATCGACAACCCCCGTCGCCCAAAATATTACACCCCCGGAACCTGCCAAACCATACCCTGCAAAAGCCAATGCCCTTCCGCTAGGTTGAAACAAATATCTGAAAGAGGCCTAGATGCTGACACGCCGTGAGCGTATCGGCAACCCATCCGGGGCTGCCAATGGTGTTGAGGTTCGTGGCGATGCAGGCCGGAGCATTATCAGAGAAGCTGGTTTTGAGAGGAAGAGGATGGGAAATTGGATATATAATGGTGTGTTTGAACTGCTCTGAGGGAACTCATAGACCCAACATCATCAATAAAACAACACTATTACGAAAATGGCCTCTTCGCAAAGTCAACAAATCGGCTCCGACGTGTGCGTAATAGGCACAGGAGTCCTTGGACTTCTCGCCCTCAAGAACCTCCTCGAGCAGGGTCTCAACGCAACCGCCTTTGAGAGGAACGAGTACATTGGCGGTAATTGGCATGCTTCGCAGAACACGGGTCAGACTACTGCTCTGATGGGAACTACTGCGAACACTTCCAGGCATTGTGTAAGTTGCAAGCGAACATTGCCTATCCTAGGCATGCTAACAAGTCAAAGTGCTCTTTTACCGACTTTCCTATGCCTTATGGTAAGTATATTGTGACTTGACTATGTTTATAGTAACTTACACCTATGGCTAGACTATGCCGTTCATCCCCCACAAAAGGATATCGAAAAGTACATCGAATCATACGCCAAGCACTTTAACTTATTCTCTCACATCGAGTTCTCCACGTCAGTCGATCATGTCGAGCGTGATCAAGAACGCGGAGTATGGAAAGTATTCACCAAAAACACAAAGACCGGTGCCGAAGAATGCAGAATATTCAGCCGGGTGGCTGTCGCAACGGGCATGCTAAACGCCAAGAATATTCCCAACGTCAAAGATATCGACAAGTTTGAGGGAGATGTCCTTCACTCTCGGCAGTTCAAGGATGCTTCCAAGTACAAGGATAAGAATGTGCTTGTTGTTGGTATTGGAGCTACGGGTGCCGACACCACGTCGTTTCTGGTGAAGGCGGGAGCCAGCAAGGTCTATCTAAGTCACAGAGGCCAATTCTACCTTGTGAGTAGCTTCCAGTAACATTTTCTGATCGGTTACTGACCAATATTATAGCTTCCTCGACGAGTCAAGGGCAAGGCCTTTGACCATTCCATGAGTCGCCGCGTCGGCATCTGCGTGAGAGCGCTTGCAGGTGTCTGGCCACGAGGCTTTGCTGCACTCATGTCCAAGGGCCTCATCAGCACGAGGAACAAGTCGTTTCCCTTTCTAACCGAGCATTCATCATTTGCTTCATCTCGACCTATTGACGGAGTCTTGCACCGAGTTCCAATCTTTTCAGATGACCTTGCAGATAATCTTCGAGATGGTCGGGTCAAGTCAGTCTTGGGTATTCAGGAGGTGACAGGACCCAAGTCTGTCACCCTGACCGACGGTACCGTTTTGGAAGACCTCGATGCTATTGTATTCTGCTCTGGTTATCATTACGACTTTTCTGTTGTCAGGGGACCTGGTGATCCAACCGACGCAGCCATCGCTCCTGATCATAACAAGAAGATCCAGGCAGCTCGACATTACAGCGACGACAACAAGTTTGCTCGACTCTATCATGGATTCCTCTCGGAACAGTATCCAGAGTCACTAGCTTTCCTCGGCCATGCCATCATTATGAAGCCCCCATTCGTCCTCTACGATCTAATCTCAATGGTACTCGCCGGTGTCTGGTCTGGCAGCTACCCCATAGAATCAGCAGAAGAGAGACGCCGCGACATCGACACCCACTACGACTTCATGGTCAAGACCCTCGAGGAAGCCCCAGTTCCTCACCTCGGCATGCGTCTCGCGTCAGCGCCCACGTACGAGTGGCTGAACCAAGCAGCCGGTACAGGCGTGACGGAAAACCTGGGTTGTTTCTCGTGGAAGGCGTGGAAGCTCTGGTGGAATGACCGCAAGTTCTATAACCTGCTGATGGACGGTATCGATATACCGGCGGTTTACAGGCTGTTTGATACCGGACGAGGGAGGAAGCCGTGGCCAGGGGCGAGGGCGGCCATCGAGAAGCTTAATGAGCAGGCGAGGGAGCTGGGAGAGGAGTGGGAGCGGGAGAATCAAGATAAGAAGACGAAGTGAGCGAGCAGGGTCAGTGGGAGTGATTCTTTTTGCGCCGCTTAGTATTTGATCAAGTTTGAATGCTCAAGATCGATTAATGTCGTTAACTAGACTGAATACCTCGTTAGATAGACAGATATACAACACGTATCGAAATGTTATTGCCAAGACATTGTCTGAGGACTGAGACCTGATGTGCCTCGGTGTTGGCGTTGAGATACTCCGTAGTAGTTAGCCAGCCCCTCGACATATCTAAATGGCAGCTTCTGTTGATTGATCATGGTGATGAGAAAGATGAGCTACTGATGTGAAACAAGTATCCAATTCCAACAAGATTCGGCCTGGCGAGGCATCAAACAAGGATTAGGCACCCACTTGCATTGATTGCTGCACCATGATCAGCGCCCGCAGCGCATGGAGGGCAGCGTAAGCGTTAGAGGTTTCGTAGCTAAGGCTCAGGTTGTCCTGTTTTGGAAGCCACCCGCCCTGCTGCATTTCACCCATCCCTCCTTCCATCAACACATGTACCAATATTTTAAGCAACTCACTCTCATCGTCGCAATCACACAGCGCAACAAAAAAAAAAAGAGAATAAAGAAACTTGCCTAAAGAGGCGCTCGTTGTATGCTCGGCATTCGTCCTACGCTGCGAGCAAGGCCCTCGCTTCTGGATCTGATCCGCGCCAGAGGCGAGGACGACTCCGACGAAGACACCAACGGCAACAACAGAAACAAGGCCACAGACAGCGACAGCGACAGCTCCAGGGGCCGCGCGGGGAGCTTCAGCAGCAGTTCCAGCGATGCAGCCCCTGCGGCAGCCGCTAACGCCCTCGCCACCTCTCGCTCTCAAGCTCCAGGTGGAGGCCCCACTCGCACCGCATCGTCATCATCCAGGCTCCACCGTGGACCTGGAACTGGAGCTGGGAAGGTGCAAGCTCGTGCTGCTGCTGTCGCTGCCGCTCAGGCTCTAGTCGACGTAGCTTGCCAGGTGCCTCTGCCAAACTCTCCACCACCATCTCCGTCTCCATCATCTCCAACTCCATCTCGACCGCCTCCCTCGACCTCATCCTCCTCCGACCCGACTCTACCCTGCATCCGGCCTGCGTCGCCGTCCTCTCCGAGACCCATTCCTCAGATCCGTCTTGAATCCGACAGCGCCCCCGTTTCGCCGCTCAAGATGCCTCCCGTATGTTGATTCCCGACCTCGAGAACCTGGTTCCCCTGATGCTTGCTGCCAGACCCGTGACGACACGGCGTCCATTGCCCCGCTGGATTCGAGAGGCTGACATGACCAATGCTGCAGAAAGCAAAGGCTGCTAGCAGCAACGTCAACGAAGATGATGCGTCACACGGTATGTAGATGCTAGGAGCGCTCATGTTTGGGCACTTTTCAAGGTACCTTGGCCTGGTCGCTAACAATCTTCTTAGGCAAGATTTACTCCATCTCCGGGTCAGTTCCTCCAGCTTTGCTCGGCTTCGCGAGCCATCTGCGCCCTCGAAATGCATCCTGAAAAGCGCTCATGGGACGTCATCATGTTTTACTGACTCTTTCAACAGTCCCGTCGTTGTGGCTGAGGACATGATTGGTGTTGCCATGTACGAGTTGGTTAGTCGCAATCATCCACCATCGTCATAATCGGCCCAAATCTAACCAACAACTCGTCTAGGTCAGAGTAGGTCACGATAACCTTGCCGGTGAGGTTATTCGAATCAATGGCGACCAAGCCACCATTCAGGTTTACGAGGAGACATGTACGACAACCCATGATGGAACTCGAGACTGCGATACTAATTGAGATCCCAGCCGGCGTCACTGTCGGTGACCCCGTTTTCCGAACCAGAAAGCCCTTGTCCGTCGAGCTCGGCCCCGGTCTGCTCAACGGTATCTACGACGGTATTCAGCGTCCCCTCGAGGCCATCTCGAAAATCGCCAAGTCTATCTACATTCCCCGCGGTGTCGCGGTTCCTGCGCTCGACCGCGAGAAGAAGTGGGAGTTCACCCCGACCCTAAAGGTCGGTGACCACATCTCGGGTGGTGATGTCTGGGGTACCGTCTTCGAGAACTCTTTCCTCGCCAACCACAAGATTCTGCTCCCCCCTCGCGCCCGAGGAACCATCACCAAGATCGCCTCCAAGGGCGAGTACACAGTCGTCGAGAAGCTCCTCGAGGTCGAGTTCGATGGCAAGAAGACCGAGTACCCCATGATGCAGACCTGGCCCGTCCGAGTGCCTCGCCCTTCCAACGACAAGATGTCTGCCGATCAGCCCTTCATCGTCGGTCAGCGAGTTCTCGACGCCCTCTTCCCCAGTGTCCAGGGTGGAACTGTCGCTATCCCTGGTGCTTTCGGTTGTGGAAAGACTGTCATTAGTCAGTCTGTGTCCAAGTTCTCCAACAGTGATGTTATCGTTTACGTCGGATGTGGTGAGCGAGGCAACGAGATGGCCGAAGTCTTGAAGGATTTCCCCGAGCTCACCATTGAGGTGGATGGTCGCAAGGAGCCCATCATGAAGCGAACCACGCTCATTGCCAACACCTCCAACATGCCTGTCGCTGCCCGAGAAGCCTCCATCTACACTGGAATTACTGTAGCGGAGTATTTTCGTGACCAGGGTCTCAACGTTGCCATGATGGCTGACTCTTCCTCACGATGGGCTGAGGCTCTTCGAGAACTGTCTGGTCGTCTGGGAGAAATGCCTGCTGATCAGGGTTTCCCCGCCTACCTGGGTGCCAAGCTCGCCTCGTTCTACGAGCGAGCCGGTCGTGTCAAGACTCTGGGTTCCCCTGAGCGCCAGGGCAGTGTCAGCATCGTCGGTGCCGTCAGTCCCCCTGGTGGTGATTTCTCGGATCCCGTCACTACGGCTACTCTGGGTATTGTGCAGGTCTTCTGGGGTCTCGACAAGAAGCTTGCCCAACGAAAGCATTTCCCTTCGATCAACACATCCGCCTCGTACAGCAAGTACACCAACACACTGGACAAATTCTACGAGAAGAACTACCCCGATTTTCCCCGTCTCCGAGACCGCATCAGGCAGCTCCTTTCTGACTCTGAGGAGCTTGACCAGGTCGTGCAGCTGGTTGGAAAGAGTGCGCTGTCTGATCCCGACAAGATCACCCTGGACATTGCGGCTCTGCTCAAGGAGGACTTCCTGCAGCAGAACGGTTACTCAGACTATGACCAGTTCTGCCCCATCTGGAAGACCGAGTGGATGATGAAGCTCATGGTGGGCTTCCACGATGAGGCCCAGAAGGCGATTGCTCAGGGCCAGAGCTGGAGCAAGGTGCGAGAGGCTACCTCTGACCTGCAGGCCAACCTGCGACAACTCAAGTTCGAGGTTCCCACTGAGGGTCAGGACGTGATCTCCAAGAGGGTAAGCAGTCAAGCAACGATTTTTGAATATATGCTAACAGAGTTGACAGTACGAGGAGATTCAACAGAAGATGACGGACAAGTTCGCTGCTGTCATGGACGAGTAAATCAAGACTCGGGAGGTGATCTCGAGAGACGTTGCATTGCAAGCAGTTGCGGTCTTGGGCATAGAAGAAGGATAAGGAGGGGGATAAGTCAGGAGAAAGCCGGTATTCGATTACTGTTTGCGACGCCCCATAGTTTAGTGTGTTGAATCGATATCAAATTGTTTGAATATTGTCTGTTTATAGGTGTTGACTGGCATATTGTCTGTACATGTCACTCCTGCATTGAAGCTGTCGGGAGCATCATCCGGGGTGGGTCGTGTAGTTGGGGAAGTCCAATGATGTGGGGCTGCATATGGTAAGTAATTCTCGCGGTGAACCTTGAGAAGATGATATTCCTGACTCTCATCAGCAGCTCAGCTTTTCTACGTTGATATACACATTCAAGGCCGTTTTCTCTCCTCCAATATATCAAATTCTACTCCTCCTAATCCTACCACTCAAGAAACTGACCCAATCCCTCAACACGCACACACAGCCCCTCACTCGCCGAACAATGTCCGAAGAACTCCAGGACGAGGTAGAAGCCATCAACTCCATCTACGGCGACGGCAGCCTCGTACCAACCGAGGGCGATACCTCCGTCTTCATCCTCAACCTCCCCGGCGACGCCTCCTCCCTCCGCGTCCGCTTCCCGCAAGAGTACCCCTCCAAACCGCCCTCCGTCCTCGGCACCCATCACAGCTCCGGCGGCGTGAGGGGTGCCGGCGCGAGAGATCTTAAACTCTTTCGTGAAGCGTTGGAGAGTGTGTTTCAGGAGGGTCTTGTTTGTTTGTTTGATGCTGTTGAGGAGTTTACGAGGCGGTCTGAGGAGGAGGCTGAAGATGAAGCGCCGAGTGCACCATCACCACCACCAGAGGAGTATGAGATAGAAGAACCGTCCTTCCCACCTCCGAAATGGATCCTCTCAGAGCCCATCACAGACTCCAAGTCAACCTTTATAGCACACGTCGCGCGCGTCACGTCGCCGGACCAAGCGCGACACTACGTACAGGTTCTCCTAGCATCCGACAAGCGCATCCGCACCGCAACACACAACATGACGGCGTGGCGCATCAAGGGGCCAGGAGCAGCGAGCTTCCAGGACTGTGACGATGACGGAGAGGCCGCTGCGGGGGGCAGGCTGTTGCATCTCATGCAGCTCATGGATATCTGGGATGCCATGGTGGTGGTGACGAGGTGGTATGGCGGCGTGCAGCTGGGACCTAAGAGGTTTGCCCTAATCAACGCCGTTGCAAGGGATGGCTTCGTGAAAGCCGGCTTGGTCGAGGAGAAGAAGAAGGGAAAGTAACAAGGTGCTCTCTCAGTCAAAGGCATCACAAACCTGGAGTCACGGCAACGACAACTGTTACGTTACACAAATCATCATGGTATCTCGATTTGGAACAGAACAGCTCCTCCCGAAGAACGCCAGACAGATACACAAAAAAAGCCCGCCCACCATCCACTCCACGTCTTGGATTACATAGGGGATACAGATCCCCAGCATCATGATCATGCTCTGCCGCCCAGCTACCTTACATGAAAATCATTTACGCCATCTCCAAACGCCTCTCCTTGGGTTTGAAAGTCCTTGGTGTTACAAATCTGTCAACAACTCATCTCCCCTTTTTGTTACAAGTTTAAAAGACCACCGCTCTACGACTCCTTGGTGAGCAGTGGCTCCAAGATACTCATGGCTCGGACAGACTGCTCCTCCGAGAGAATGACAGCACCTGCTTGGGCTGTCGAGAGGTACGAGAGTTCCGAGCTCTCCGCTATCTGCGGATCCTGCACCAGGATACCCGCAACACCGCAGACGATACCAGTGGCTTCCAAAGACAAACTTTCCAGGTTGAGGAAAATTGGAATCAGGCAGCCTTCTGTATCCCCCACCAGAGAGTCGCCAAAAACATCAAGAAGGTTCTTGTCGAGGAGTAGCGAAGGTGGGTCGTCCTGGGCCAACGTAACCGACATGAATCGTGGTTGCGAGACAAGAGCCGAGATGATGCATGTGTACAGCTTCGTATCGACATTATCCGCCCAGCTTGGTCGTCGTCCGTTCCCCGTGGCGTGTCGGCTGATCGAAGGTCGTTGGTGGTTGAAGGATGCAAGCTGCGATGCCTCACGGCCAGAACATTGCACCAGCACCAAACCCTCCTCGATGTTTGGAGTGACATGCCGTTTCTTGAGAAGGCCAAAGGTCCGTGTCTGCATCTCGGAAACGTTGGACGGAAGACCCTCGTGCGGCGGGGTCACTGTCGGTTGGGTGGCGCCCTTCTTATATCCTTGTGTGACATAGTTGGACTCGTTCTCGCACAACTCAAAGCCCTTGGCGAGGAGGGACTTGGCAACGTTGTCGCGCTCCAAGGTCGGCACTAGAATAAAGTCGGAGTAGTAGGTGGTGATGAAGAAGATGGGGATGCCAGCCAGTGCCAGTGGAGAGGTCAACTCCATTACACGGCCGCCCGCATCGAGTCCAGCACTAATGACCGAGAGGATCATGTACGAGTCTTTGGAGACCGAGACCGATTTGGCAATATCGCGCGGGAGCGTCTTTAGGACGGGCTCAAACACATTCTGTGCCCATGATGAGTGGCAGACCACTGAGCACTCGAGGGGGGTGATGCTGATGTTGAGAAAGCCATGTTGACCATCAGATGTGAGACCCTGTAGCTCGTACTCTGGTGAATCGCGCAAGTTTCCCAGGCTCTGAGACTGTGGGAGGAGGACGCGGAGGATAGGCTGGAGCAGTGTCGAGTAGAGATTGAGAGGGATGTGAATCAGCGTATAGGTCCCATCCTAGAGAGCGAGGTTAGAATAAAGACCATGTGCAAGCAACTCTTTAACTTGTCAATCTTGAAACGCCCGTCGTTGAGTAGTCGCATGCAAGGTCATGCAGCAGGATCAAGAGTAAGACAGATCTCAAGTAAGAAAGGGTTGCGTGCAGAGCCTGCAGCACCGACTTACAAGGAAAGAAACTTGCGCGTTCATGATGAACCGCCAACGTCGAGTCCTGGGGCAGGCGAGGTTGGATTCAATGAGGGGCAGATGGCAACTTGAATGCGAATCGATGTCTGCGGCAAACTCAAGCTAGGCTGGACGGACAATTGGTAGGCGATAACAGAACGGTCGAGGGGCTGACTCGATCATGGAAAGAACCTCGGTCCGTCTGCTCCAAGGTTTGGGCTAAGGTTGGACGAGAAACAAGAGTTGAGAGCGCCAACGAGAGTGCTGGAAAACCGGTAAAGTTTGATGTTAGTGAAAGGGGCACAGGCTCAAGTGGTGTGAAGAGTTTTTTCGAGAGGTTGACAAAAGGTAAATAAAAAGGAAAACGAGGGGGATTGAGAAGAATCGATGCAGGTTAGGCAACGGAGGCGATAAGGGTAAACCCACGTTAATAACTCTCTCTCTCTTCCTGATCTCTGAGCGAGCAGCTTGCATACTTTAGTTGCTCACACCATGGCTCCGAGCCGGACGGGAAGGGCACGTCCCTTCAAAGGTTGAGCATTGCAGGGTTTTGCAGGGACTAGGCGAGTCCACTCAAGACAGGCCAAGCCAAAGGAAGCCAAAGGCCGACCTGGGAACTACCGTAGTTGGCCGAGTTGGGCCATCATGGCGGCAGCGTTGACGGGCATGGGGGTGGATATTCCCACTAGACCTCAAGAAAGTGTAAGCCGACAATGTCTTGGTGCAATCAGGCGTCAGTGGCTCAAACAACCCCTGTCCACGACCGATGATGCTACTCTGGACAGGATGGTTCGAGGTCGTCTTCCACGGCTATGTGCCGACCTGCCATGCTGTGCTTGCATCCATTGTATCGTCTGCGGGAGATGGACACGCTCGCTTCAGTGAGGCCGCTCGGGGGTTTCCTGGCGCAGATCATCACCCAATGCCCCGATGCCCAAGGCATCTCCCTTCTATCCAACACCCCAGTGGGTAAGGCGGAACCTGAAAGGTGCAGGTGGCTTCTGTAATTGCGATGCAGGTGGTTTCACAGCATTATGTGTTATGGAGCCGAGGACAAAAGCAACAAGACTTGATCAGAAGCGCCGTGGCTCTCCGAGTCACAGAAATGCCACAGTGCCCAAAAGGTCAAGACACGCAGCTCGTTTTGCTTACGACTGCAGTCTTGGTTTCCTAACAGCCATCAAGACGATGTCGCCAGGTCAAGATGCACAGTCGTGGCATCCATCTGAAGCCAGAGCTGTGGCCGATTCGAGTGCGTGACAGTGGTCTCGAGATCGACCGGGAGCAAAAGGTTGTGGCAGCCAAGCATGATGATAGGTGCAGGTACTGTATGTAGGATCCGTAGAGTTGCAGAAGTTGTTGGTGCGTGGGGGCAGGGGTGAGATGCCGTCGCTGGGCTGAGATCGGATAGGATCAGGACCCTTGCAACCTTGTAGCGGAGTGTAGGACAAGACATGCTTGACTAGTCCAAGCTTGGTCTTCTGCTCGGGCTTGGACGTGAGCTTCAAGGTGAACGAGCCATGATGAAGCAAGTGGGCGAACCGTGAGCCTGGATCCAGGCCAAGGCGATTTTGCTAGTGTTGGTGTTGGTGTTGATGTTGGTGGAGGATGGAAGTGTAAGTGAGGTACCCGTGGGTGGAGCAGGCGGTACCTGCCATGGTGAGCAAAGCAGGTAGGTGGTAGCAGTCCTGTCTCTGGGCAGGCAGGAACAACTCCACGATGATGCCTTGTGCCTTCCTCGTCAGTCCGCTTATGCTCACATCCATCACATGCCCTTCACCTCGGAGCTGATATTACCTTCACCTTCACCTCAAGACGTCACAATTCAGACTCATCATTTTCTTCATCCCAGCTTCGTCGTACCGTCAGCCCCAGCTTCGGCTCCAAGGCTGATAGACCCTGGTGTTTTCTGCGGCCTGCCCGTCTCGGAAACCTCCCAGGAACCCCAGCTTTCATCATCACCCTTTCTTTTGGGTCATCAGCACCTCCAGCTATCATGTCTCGACTCGGCTTCGCCTCCGCCTTGCATCCGACTCTAGCAGCGTCAGGCGCCGAGCTTCCTCTTCTCCGTTTATGATGCATTCTGCCCCTACACTTGCGCTAGCGGCAGCTGCCCCTGGCTCTGCCTTGTTATGAACACCAGCACCAGCCAGCAGGACGAAATTGATGCATGCACCTCTCAACTACGCCTCTGATCGACTGTCGTATAACCTCAACACTCAATTATGGTTGCTCATCATTCCCCGAAGGAGCTCGGCCTTCGTCACATCGCATCTATCCCCCCGGTCTTAACCCACTGCACGCGTCTGGAAAGGGCCGCTCACCGCGATGGACAAAGGACACGACAGTGAAGCATCTCCGAGAGATCTCACTGATGAAATCTGCTTCGGGTAATGGACCCCACGACAGGTGCCGTTGCAACGGGCGCAAGGGAGCAGCTTCTCCAATGATTCTGGCTCTCTGGAGCCCTCTTCCCCGCTTCTGGGCCCCTTGTCGTCGGGCTTGCCACTGACTCGTGATTCACTGCGTGACCTGCCGCCTCTGAGGCTTCGCATTGCATCGCGGAACATGTCGCCTTGCGCATCCGGCTGCAGCTCATAAGCACGTCGAGAAGTGACGCAGCTTCCACCAAACCCCTTGTCACGCTGTCAACCGCGTGCACAGATGAGGTGTTTGCGTGCCTCTGGAATGAGGGGCTACAGTGACCTTGGCTGGCTGATGGCGACACAACACTGCCGGATTCAGTGGCAACACCTCTCTCCCCACAAGTCTCATACTCCTGTCAGGTCACTCAGCTATCGAATGAGAAACTATGTGGTCTGCGTACGACTGTCTCTGCGGCCGGTAATTGTCGGCGGATAGCACAAAGCGACTAGCTTTCTCTTGATACCTATCAGCAGATATCCTCTTTAATACCTATCAATGAGGGTCCTTTGTCCCGCCCGTTGTGGGACGGGAGCTAAGCGCAGGTGGGCTGTTTGATAAAGGATTCTTGACCAGCTTACATCGCAGTTATCGTAATAGCATAGTCTAGTTGTCGAGATTTGACGATATCTCCACGAATGAAGGCTGCAAACTCGACCGGATAACAAAGGCTTCTCGGACCCCCAGCCTCTCGGTCTCGGCCGTTCTGACAGGACCGCTGATCGACCCAAAGCCTTCCCGTCCTGTCATGGATACTTCAACTATGACATGAAAGTCCCGACGGAGAAGAGGGGGGTTCATGCATGACATTGCAGTGGCCTATCTTGCCTAGCGCGCCCAGTAACCGCCCCAGCCGACCGGATTGTCAACTCGACTAACTGCCAGCCGTGATTGTCCTCCCACGCCCAATGCCAAGGCACAGAGAGCTTGTTTCACTTCTGCGCGTCTAGGTCGGTCGCCTGCATCTCGGAGACCACCGCCAGCTCCGCACGACTACCGTTGGGAAAGATGGATGTGGGCGGATCCGAACAACAGTGACATGCTCTCCGCAAGACACGTCTCTGCAAGACAGCTTGATCCATTCCTATTTTGAGATGGTCGAAACTTTATCGCTTGACCCCAACGACGACCAGGTTTCTTGGACTCTGTTCGTAGTCAAACACTGTCTCGACCCACGCATGACGGACGAGATCGTCGTGTTCTCGGAGGAACGTCCACCGGTCCGACACGATGAGAGACTCGACAGCCATGGCGCTGAACGCCATCAGACTCCAGACAGCGCACAGCTCCTGCTTTCGTGGCAGGTACGTGGCCTCATAGCGCTCGATCTCTTCGTCAGTGATGTCGCCCATCTTCTCCTGCATCACGTCTGCATACTGTTTGAAGTCGCTGTTGGTCGTGAGCTTTTGTACAGCCCCGCGCACATAGTCCTTGAAAGACCCATAGCAATTCTTCCGCAGGGATCCAATGATGACAGGATTGGTGCTGATGTCAAAAGGACTTTCACTCTCGCTCTTGGTGGCGACAGTAGCATCTGCCTCAGGTCCTCCTTGAGCGTCTGAATGCCGGACCTTGGTCACCACGCCCCGGTCAAGGAATATCTTTTGCAACACTGCTCTGAAAAAGTGCCGAGAGAAGAATCCTGCGCTCTCCTTTTCGGTCCAGTTCTGGGGTGCCTGGCAAGCCATCATGCGGGCTGTGATGTTCAGTCGCACACCGTCGCCTTCATATGTCGAGAACTTTTTGCTCATAGGGAACCCCTGCGGGTCATGCTTGTCTGATTCTCGGACAAGCCGGCCGTTGACAGCCTGGAGAGTCGGCCTCAAGAAAGCATGCTTGTAGGTTGGCGGGCCTAGCTTCTCGGTCATCAAGTTGTAGCAGCATCCAACAATAGCCACTGCCTGGATGCTAGGGTTGAGGACCAGGGAGCGAATCCCAAAGTGCGACAGGTTGCCGCAGGAGTGGATTGACATTGCCATCAGCCGCAAGTCCTTCTTTTCGCCCTCTGTTTTGCTCCCGTTGTCGATTTGGGCAATGACGTCGGCAAGATCACCACTGTCGAGGCGACCCGAGATATACTGGACGAAACCCTTGCCTTCTTCCGCCGTGTATTCCGCTTCGAGTTCTCTGGTGGGTCGGAATTCGAATGCTTCATCTCCTGCCACTTCGCGGATGGCCTTGGCCAAAGCCTCTGGATCATCTTGTGCATCTGGGCCGCGTGCTTCGATGATCTGATTCCACAGCTTCTTGTTTCTCATGACCTTGGGCTTGACGGCCAAACCAGAAGTCATATCGAGGCCTCTTGCTGCCGTAACGTTATTCTCACGTCCTTCAACGGCAACCACATATCGGTTATATGGTTCGCTTGCCATTGCTCGACCAAGATAATTCTGACCACTGCCAAAATCAACAAAGTGGGTGATTTCGTTGCCCAATTCCTCCGAAATGTCCCCCGACAGTCTATCGAGATATTCCGCAAAGTTAGTGACTTCGTGGACCTTTTTGCGGTTCATGCCCACAGCGACTGGGCGTGGCAGAGCAGGCAGTTTCTCCTTTGGGGGTGTGAATGAGCGACCAAGAGAGAGGTTTCGGACTGTTCGAACGTATTCGATGAAACTCTCCGGAGGGGCCTCTCCTTCGAATTTGAGATTATCCAAATCATCTCGCATGAGGAGATCTAGAAGGTCCATGAGATTGCATGACAGGATGAAGGGGTGCCACTCTTTGGGTATGGCGTAGTGGAAGAGGCCAGGTTCGATGGTGAAGAAGTCGAGGATATGGACACCACCACAGAGAATTTGAAAAGTCTCCGAGCTGCTCGAGAACTTGAGGAGTTCATCGATGTACTCTTCGGGAGAAGCAAAGTCGCCATTGAATGGCAGGGGCTTTTCAGGTATCATGATGAGATATAGGTAGTCGAGTTGTTGACTACCCTGTAGTGGTGTCAATGATGGGTTCTTGGTGGTTTGTATAACTGGGGTCTTACTATATGTTGGGTGAATATTCGCTAAGACCTGATCCTGGTCCTCTCTGGTGTTGTCCCTCGTCCCTCGTTCAAAGCCCTTGTCTGTTGGATGTGCAGGTTGTCTGTAAAACAAGAGCTGTAGGAGTCGGACACTCTCAACAACAAGGCAAGTCGTTGAAAGGCAGATAGGACAAGGCAGCTCGGTATCAGACTACGAGCAGTCCAAGTTCTGACCAGTTCAGATACTAGCCTCGAACATTGGGCAAATTTCGATCTATCATGCACAATCCAAATTCACTTGGTGTGCGGGTCGAATTTGTAGGTGAGAGCTCGGTGTGACTGAGAGGGAGCCCAGAAAAAAGGTACGTACCTCACAGCTCTCACCGAGCGCTCCCCAGGCCCCAGGGGTCCCTGCAACGTCATCCCCTCCAACCTCCCATTGTCGCATTCGAACAGGCTTCAAGATTGAATCTTCTGGCTTCAATTAATCCACCTGCTAGAGTCGCCTAGACATCATCGCACATTGACGCTTATGCGTCTTCACGCCTTGTACCGTTAGGATGATGTCCTCCACAAACGAAGAGGACCCCTTCCTCCAGGTCCAACAGTACGTTTCCATCCATCCCTCGTTATCATCCCAATGTTTAGCATTCATCGCGCTGACTGCCACGTAGAGATGTTCTCACTCAGATGGCCTCGGCTAGGCCGCTGTTCGCCTCATATCTCCGCATCCGCTCCCTATCCACAAATGCCGATTCTCCTGAACTTGCTTCCGCTCGCTCCGACCTCGAAGCCGCTCTCTCATCCCTCGCCGACGACCTAGCCGACCTCGTCGCCTCTGTGCAGGCCGTCGAGTCCAACCCCGCGCAGTTTGGTCTCTCTGCACATGAGGTGACACGTCGCAAGCGTCTCGTCCAGGAGGTCGGCGGCGAGATTGACGACATGCACGACGAGCTGGCAAAGAAGGTCGACGCTGTCCGTGGGGGCGACCTACCCGACCCCAACGCGTTCGCCATCGATGGCGACGGTGACGATACGTACGCCGAGTTTGAGCAGCAGCAACAGATGGAGATAATGCGCGAGCAGGATCAGCACCTGGATGGTGTGTTCCAGACCGTGGGCAACCTTCGAAGGCAGGCCGACGATATGGGTAGGGAGCTGGAGGAGCAGCGCGAGATGCTCGAAGTTGTCGATGAAGCGGCTGATCGTGTGGGTGGCCGACTTCAGACGGGCATGCAGAAGCTGCAGCATGTGATACGCGCGAACGAGGATCGGTACAGTAGCTGCTGTATAGCCGTCCTCATCTTTGTGCTCATCCTGCTGTTGGTCCTCCTCTTGATTCTATAATACTCGAGTAGAGAAGGGGTAAAGGGGCTGCCCTGACGCAGCACAGCCTTGTCAGAAGCGTTCATGATACTTTTACGTTGGGAAATCGGAGTTTTGGGTGGGAATTGCAACGACTGCGTACACGCAATGACCGGAAATCTTGTTCTTTTTTTCTTTGTCTTGGTTGTATACTAGAAGGATAGATAAAGAGGAGCAGACGTGGCCGTTTGTCTGTTTAAACGGCGTGACATAATCCAACAAGTCCGCCAAACACCTACTATGCCTGCCAAGCCTATGCCTGCCAAGCCTATGCCTATGGTGATGCTGATGCCTTTCCTCATCAACAAAAATGATATCTCTCTGTCCTGAACGCCTGTTACAGCACCGGCTTGAATGTGTTTTTCCTCCATTTGCTTCTTTTCTCCGTCCCCCTTGATTCTCCTTGCCGGGTGTCCTTGTTCTTCTAAGCCAGCACCAGTCCCGACTCACTCTTGAGCACATCAGCCAGAGCGGCCAGAGAACCGGCAGCTGTGGCGTTTTGGGGCGCCTTCTTGGGGAATTCGACAAGCGCAAGACGCAGGGCTGCCAGAGCTGCGTTGCCATAAAAGTTGAGGAAGCGTTGTTCGTGGCCTTGAATCATGGACCGGAGGACAACGTATTGCGTGTTTGAGATCTCGTTGGGGGGCGAGTTGACGATATATGCTAGCGCCTTCCAGTAATTAGTAGGCGGGTAGGGGTTCTTCTTTGATGACTTGCTGAAATCTCTCAGAGAGAGAGAGGCAAAGCCAGCACCCAGGCCAGTCATCCTGTCGTTGTGGCTCTGTTCTGTGATCCAGGCCGGCCCATCCTTCTTCCAGCCGATGGAGATACGACCGCGCTCTGTTCGATCACTACCTCTGTGGCCGAAGAGGACTGGGCACACAATTCGGTACTTGGCCATTACGATATCGATCAGGGATTGCCCTCGCCATTCAAACTCCTGGTTTGAAAAGATGTGGGCTGTAAACACTCCAATCGGGTCTGCGGCCTTTGGGTTGGCGCCACCTTCGTTGATGAACTGGTTGATAATGGCCTTGGCACAGATATTCATGAGATAAATGAAGAGTGAAGGCAGTGTTTGGTCGTTGTGGGTGGCTCCCTGAATGGGCTCTCTCTTGTCGACCACGAACAGGCCAACATCGATTGGCGGGCTTGGTGTACCACCCTTCAAGGCCTCCTTCAATGTGTCTGTGATCTTCTGAACCTAGTTTTTGTTAGAGCCTGCTGTCATATCGAAACATCTTACTTACTGGTTTGGCGTTGGCACCCTTTCCGCCGGTCAGCTGGCCAATAGCCACCCGAATCTCTCGACGGAAGGTTCCAAGTTTGCCCTTGAGCGGCGAGCCAGGGACCTTAGACTGAGCCTGAAGTTCCCGACGCAGCTTCTTGAGTTCCTGGTGAATCTGGCAGTATCGATCTTCAGTGGGACTCGCTGCAGGTTTCGCAGGAGGTGCGGCGGGTTTGGCCAAAGGCTGAGCAGGACCAGGCGCAGCAGGTTGTGCCGTAGCTGGCCCGTTTGTCTTCTGGAACAGTCCATGTGTAGTTGTTGGCCCGGAAGTTGCAGCAGCAAGTGGGCTGCTAATCGTCGGTTTGTTCTGGGGTGCGAAGGGGCTGCTAGTGGCAGGGGGTGCAAGAGCAGGCTTCTTGATCTCTGAAGGGGGAGTTGTCGATGGTTCTACCCGCTTTGTTTCCTTTACCGGTGTAGTACCGTTTGTTGTCTTTGAAGGATCTGGTTTGGGCGCCGGAGGGGGAGTGGGAGGTTCAGGCTCTGGTGGTAATCGAGGAATCGTCTTTGCCTTGAGTTCCCGAAGTCTCTTCTCCTCAGCGACAACTAGAGCTTCTGCCCGAAGCCTCTCTTGCTCCTTGCGCTCCTCCTCGACGATACGTCGGTGCTCTTGTTGCAGCTCATGAAGCTCGTAGACTCGGATCGCAGCCTGGCGCACCCGTTCGTGCTCTACCTGGGCTGCCGCCAGGGCATCCCGATGGCTAAGCTCGTTGTTTCGCGTATCAAGTAGGAAGCTCGCGGCGATGTTTCGCTCGGGGCTCGAGAGCAATTGGCTCCGCCTCGTGGTCGGGGAGCGTGTCATGATGAGTTGAGGACGGCGAGGCTAGGATTTCGCTGTCACGCATTCATTGGTAGCTGGAATAGATAGTTCCCTGGACAAGTTGGAGGTGTGAAAGCTCGTATATCGATAAATGAAATGAGCCGTCTTTCAGGCCGGTCCGCGAGGGATCGGACAACGGATCTGACGTCGAATTTTGAGATTGAATGTCGTTCTTTGGGTTGTAATATGCAGCCCTTGGAGAGGCTGGATGCAAGATCAAAGCATAGTGGGTACGTACCAACTGATATGAGCTGAACTTCCAGCCTCCCGTCCAGCTTGGTCCCACCCAAAGGGGAAGTAAAAGAACAGCCTGATCTCGGTCCGCTAAAATAAAGTCCCGACCTGCATTGCTCAGCCACACAGAGTAAGCCACACAAGGTCATGTGTGGCCGTGTTATTCGGGATGGCGCCGTGAAACATGTCAACTCTGGCGCCGCCCGTAATGGTCGAGACAATGCAAGATGCTCCTCCACATGAGGGGCAATTGACGCGTGATCTCATTGGCAGCCTAATACCAAGTGGCAGGTAACAGGCATCCTACGGCAGCACCTGAATCACGGAGGTTCTGTCAGAAATTCAGCCTTGGAGCTGAATTTAGTGCTGGCCAAGCAAGTCTGAGGCAGCCTAGTCACTGCATCTGGAAACAGTTCGTCGTCGCGTCCACCTGAGGTGAGGACATGGAGACGAGACGACGCGATGGGGTAGTTCGACTGAAGGGTTACATTGACGGCTCAAATCTAGAACCTGCCTGGATGTGGTTCACTGGGTCGGGCCGTTGCTCACCCTCTGGGTAGGTACCTGAGCTGTCTAAGGGAGGTATGCGGATGAGGACCACGAAGCCACGGCAGCCGTTTTTGGTTGTGTTGGGCCCAGACGGGGAACATGTCTGAACTTCGGGTAACGCCTCTACGAGACACGGCTTGACGATGATCAAGATGCTCGGTAATGGGCAACATTGAGCCAAGTATACGAAGTACTTGGACAAGTAGTTGGAGACCAGGCTCACCCTGCAAGACGTGCAAGACGGCTCGTTACTCTGGGTAAATGGAAGAACCATGACTTTGCCGTGAGCACCTGACCTCGGATTGAGATGTCTTTCACAACGATTGCCCGGGAGACGAGGCTTCAACTCGGACACGGGCTAGAGGGTGGTCCGTTGTTGGTGGAAGCTGTCCCATCTCGGCTCCCGGACGGAGATGGAGAATGACAGCTGTTCTAGCCATGGACAAGCCTGAAGGTGAGCCTCGCCCAGGAATGTCAATGAGATCAATGGCGAAGCTCTAGCCCACTCCATTTCGTCAGTGCAGCGAGCGTCTGTGAGCCTGCCCCTCGATGACGTTTGGCGGCACGGATTTCTTGGTTCCCTTGCCTGGATGTTTGCACTATCGAGCATCACCCTTGAGCCGCAGGGGACGCCCGGAGCTGGAGGTTTGATTGTTGTATCCATACTGTGTTGCGAAGCAGGGGTTCATGGCCCCCCTAGCGTAGGCGGATACGGTTAAGCATCATCAGGCAATCACAGGGGCCAAGGTCTAAGGAGCTTGAACGTGACACGAGGGAGTGAAAACGAGGCAGGGCTTGGAGGAGGAGGAGGATGGATACCGGATCAGATGGATATCAAGGGGGAGAACCAGTTTCGGCCATGTCTGAACCTGAATGTGGCAGATGCTACTGAGACAGATAGTGTTCTTGTTTGAGCTGGGAGGAGTCCGTCATGGCGTTGAAAGCTCGGGTCATATGAAGCTGGGGTTAATTTGTGTGATGAAATGGAGCAGCAGACGGCGCCATCTAGGTATAGCTCAGGGATATCCTAGTGCAGCCACTGTTGATGACAATGTTTTGGGTAGCTTTCTTCAGGCTGTGATATCAACAGTGTTTGAATAGCAATGCAATGAATCGTCCCAACGCGTTGTTAGGTACTGTAAAGCAATGCCCGTCTCTGATAGACTTGCTTTGTGTTGATGCGGTTCCCACCGCTGTGCGCTTCTGATGACGCCCTTTTCCACCTCCCTCGACGCCACACCAGAAGCTCACTCCCTGAATCATGGAGCATCCATCAAATGGATCCATGAAGTTTGGGGTGGTGGCACCTCTGGCCCGTCACCCTTGTCTCTGAGCTAAATAGGCAATGCCGCCAGGGAAGACCAGTCGACGGGAGGGCACGCTTACGTGGACTTGTACAGAGTCGAACAGGCGGTGATTGATGAATGATCTATCTCTGTTGACTCTGTCTCCATTGCAACCGTGCTGGCCGACCTCTTGTTCGCACTACTGCGTAGGCCCTGCGGGTATCGTCCATGGCTGCATCCAGCCCATGGGCCCCTAGAGGATAGCACCTCCGCTATTAGCGGAGCAAGCCGGCGTCAGTGCGGGCTTGGGCAAGTCGCAGCGTGCTAGGGGCCCTGTGAGTGCCTCTAGGGAAAGCCCACTAATAGCCACATTAGACCTGCGGCCGACCCCATATTTAGGTGTCCCTCCCCGGTCCAGCTGCCCGGACACCAAGTTGGTGATGGTCCTAGGATGGAGGCTTCATTTGCCCCATGAACCCCTACCTATCGCACTGAGTGAGAGACCGCTAAGCCTGGAGCTGGAGCCACCTCGACCGGTACGAGGTCAACTGCAGAAGTAGCAACAGCAATAGCAGCCCGTCCACTGTAGCTGCTCAGTCAGTCCTCTCAGAGCCAGAGCAAAAAACCTGTCGTCCAATAGACGTGAGCGAGGTGCCTTCCGTGGCAGGTGGCCCGCACAAGGTACAAACTTAGCCGTATCCCACCACTCCACCAGCAAGCTAGACCATCTCCATCCATCCAACTCCTCTCCCACATCCCTCCTCCTCCTCCTCCATACTCACCCACGTCTCTCTTCCTCTTGCTAGGAGTTGGAATTCATTCCATCCATCCCGGCTTTCTCTTCTCGTCGTCTCATCATCTGCCTCTTCATCGCCGCCTTTCCAAATCACGCTCCTTGGCTCTGCGCAAGCTCGTCTACCCTCCTTTTGGGCAAAACTGTGTCCCGCCGTGCCATCGCCATCCGCCATCGCAATTCGCCTCGCCAGTCGCCCGTCGTCTACCAGGTCACGATCCTCGTTCCGCCGCCCATCTCCGGCCGCCTCAACGCTCCTCGA